CTTAAGTTAATTATAAAAGTCTTAGTAAGATTTAAAGACTTCTTAGGTTTAATCCTTTTATTTAATTAAATTATTTTTCTTAAAGTCCTATATAATAGGTTTTAACTATTTTTTAATTACTTTAGTAAGGTAGGTAATTATAAAAATTATTTTATTTTTATTATACTCTAAGGTATTTAGAAAATATCTAAAGTAAATATTAAGTTTAGTAAAAAACCTTTTTATATCCTTAGGTTTTTTATTATATAAATTAGGATACTTAGGTTAAAGAATTTTACTTTTTTTTTTTTTCTTAGCCTTAAATATAGTAATTTTATTCTTAAGAGCTAGAATTTTAACTTACTATTACTCTTAGGTAAGCTATAGTTAAGGCTAAAGGTCTTTATTAGCTATTTTAACTTTAGGTACTTTTTTAAATTTTATATTACTATTTTTATAACTTAAGGTAATACTTTTTTAATTTATTTTAATATCTAAGACTTAAAATTTAATTATTTAATATTTTTGTAATAATATTGCCTATAGTCTAAGGTAATTTTTAAATAAGAGTTATAAATATATAATAAGCTAAGCTTTTATAGGGTTAGTATAAAAGGGATTCCTAAGAAATAAACCTTATACTAAGTTTATATTAGTAAATAAACTAGGCTAGACTATAGGTAATTAATAAAAATAAAAGGGTTTATTTATATAACTAGTAGATAATATTATTTAAGTATAATTAAGTATTATTTTATATTTATAACTAGCTATTTAAACTATTCTAAATAAGTGTTATAAAATAAATATATAATATAAAGCTTACTTAAGCTTACTTAGTATAAAGTAAGCTAATTTCCTAATTAGGAAGTATCTTACTCTAGCTTACTTATTATTACATAAGCTATACTATAATTAGTCCTTTAGCCTATTATAGTTCCGTGGTGCTTACTTTATAGGCCTGCTGTTGCGATTATAAATATGTTAGTTTGTAACATAAAGGCTATAAACCTATCTCCCTACTCTCTTATATAAGAAAAGGCCTTAAAAGACTTTTAGCTAAAAAAATCTCTTTTTTAGTAATAAAATATAAGATTTTACTAAAATAATACTTTAGGGCCTTTTTAAAAAGGTTTATAATAAACTTAGTTATTTACCTATTATATAACGCTAAAGTTACCTTAATATAAGGCCTTATTATTTTCTTTTTTATACTTAATATTTTTAATATTTTTAATATAATTATATATAACTGCCTAATATATAAATTTAAAAAATAAAAATAGCCCCCTTTTTTTATAAAATAGGTTAATTTTTTTATAAGTAACTATAAAGCCCTTATTTAAAATAATTATAAAATTACTTTTTTAAAAATAAAGCTAAAGTATAAAGCCCTATAAGGATCTTTTATCTCCTTTATTATTTTTATATTTTACTTTTCCCTTAGCTTAAAACTTAATAACCCTAATACCTACTTTAAATATATAAATAATATTAATATTATAGTAGTAAAAGCTAATATTAAAAAAACTATTTAAAAGCTTTAATAAAAATTAAAAAATACTCTTAACTAAGGCAATATAAACGCAGTCTCCTTTAACCTAAATAAAATTAAACTTATATATTTTTATAAAACTAAATCTTAAATATATAATAAAAAAGTAGACTTTTAGGAAAAAACTATAGTTCCTTAGGACTTAGTTTATTAGCTAGGGATATACTTAAACTTATAGCTTTTTTTAAAAAAATATCTTAAAATTATAATAAAAAAAGCCTTTAAAGTAGCTAACTTCCTAAAGTTCCTAAATAAAATATAAAAAAAATCCCTGCTAAATATAATAATTATAATAACTAAAGCCTATATTACCCTTATGGCCTTATATAAAATAAAGGTTTTTTAGCTTAGTAAAAGTAAATAAAATATAATAAACCTAAGTAGGTAAATAAAAATAAGCTTAATAAAACTAACTATAATTTTAAAACCCCTATTTAAGGCAGTAGCTAAAGTAGTTATCCTTATATAAAAAATAATTAACCTTTTTATTATATATAAAGAATTTAGGGTCCCTTTAGTATTAGTATAAGTAGTATAAACTAAACTTTATATAGTAGCTTACTTTATAAGCCTAAATAAAAACTACTTAATTAGTAAATATATTAATAAAAAACTCCTTTTTAAAATCCCTTTTACTTACTTATAATATACTATAGCCTTAGTAAATAAAATAATTTAACTTTCCCTCTTTACTAAAAATAATAAAGCTATTAAGGTAGGCCTAAACCTTAGGGGCTTATTAAAGTCTAAGGTAATAGAAAAATACCTAAAGCTACTTAATAATCTCCCTAGATTTACCCTTCTAGCTTACTTAAATAAATTATAAAATAAATAAGGTAATATAAGCTAAAGAGTTATTATATATTATAATTTTAAAAAAACTATAATATATAGCCCCCTTACTAACGCAGAGGTTTATAATACTAAAGTAATAAATACCTTTAAAACTATAAAGTTAGCTAAGGTATATACTTTAGTAAACTTAAATATTTAAGAAATTTTATTTTTCCTAAATAATTTAGTAATAGTAAATAAAATATTAAATTTAACCTTTACCTTATCCTAAGGAGCTTATATAGGGCTATAATAAATTACTTTAAGACTACTTCTATAAGTAATTATAAAAATAACCTAGGTCCTAGGCTATAAGGATATACTAAGGAATAAAAAAGTTAACTAATTAGCAAAAAAGGGTTTAAAACTTTTTTACTACTTAAGAAACTACTTTATTATTATCTTTATTAAAAAGTAAGTAAAAAAGAGATATAAGGAAATATAAAATACTAATTAAAATAATAATTACCTAGAGTTTTATAAGGCTAGAAAGTAAGGCCTTTATAAAGCTCCCCTTATACCCCTAGAATTATATCTCTTATACTTAATTTTATATAAGCTACTAGCTAAGAGGTTTAGCTATAAAAACTTTATAAAGTATTATAAAAAATTTAAATATAATACTAAGCCTATTTATAAGTATAGTAAGTTAAGAATATAAGAATACTTTATAAAGTATTATATAGTAGCCCCCTTTTTTCTTAATATATTAAAAAGGGAGGCATACTTTAGTATTACTTATATTTAATACCTCCTTAGTAACAGAGGGTATAAGGATTTTTAGAAATTAATAAAGGATATAAGCTTATATAGCCCCCCCTTTATAAATATAAATATATAAAATAGATTAATACTCCCTTATTTCCTTTATTATATTAAAATATAGTAAATACCTAATTTAAACTTAACAGCTTCTACTATCCTAGTGCCTAGATAAAGACTTATATAACTAGCTTACTTAGTAGATATTAATAATAAAACAAAATAAATAAACTATAGCCTAGCGCTCTTTACAAAAGCTATTAGGCTGCTATAATAAAGACTTAATTTAGCTAAGGTATTTTAATTTTTTGTTTTTTAAGGGTCTTATTACAGAGACTAAATTAAAAAGCGTGGCTTAAAGCTAATAGCAATCTGCAACTTAATATATACTAGCAGGGGGCAGAGAGTCATAGTAAATGCACTACTTAACTTATTTAAAGCAGTTTTAAAAATAAGGTACATATTCAAAACTATATTAAAGGCAAAGTACTTATATATATACTTATATTAGTATATTAAGTCATGGCATTTATAGAATTATATAGTACATATGCAGGATGCATAGTATTCCCTAGAATTTAACTTCCTCTTGTTTAGAAGATAACATACAAATAAAGTAAATAAACTGCTCTGTACATTGGAATCTATATAAAGGCCCTTGCTTTACACGTGTGTAAATATATTCTCACTGAACTGATCCGCCAAACTTCTCTTCATTTAGCCAGTGTAGTAGCTGAATTATCACAATGGCCAAAAAAAACCTTTATGTCTTCCGCCTCGGTCCTAAAGGAGCCGAAGCAACAGTAAAGTATACTCGTAAGCACCTGGTCTCGTGGGAAAGAGTAACATACCTTATTTCCACTGTGAGTATTATTTCCACTCAGCCGATTTCGGGAACAGTACTGGTGATTTATCCACTTTCACGTTAGCGCTACCTACTATCTAAAGCAGAAGTGTCAAAGTTCTTTAGCTCATAACCCTTGCCGTGCTCAAATACACTCTTTCCTATATAGATGATAGCCGGAGGACTACGCAAGGGTGCCTTGAGGTGAATCTGACATGGCCACGACTCAGTGGGTTAAAAGCAATTGTTTTATTCAATATTCACTATGTAAAAGGATTTCTTGATTATTTTAATATTACTGTTATATTACTTTATTCTCTTGGGATCTCTTGGCAATTCAATTATCCAGCAACTCGCTTAGTTATATTGTGCCGGAAGCTTTGTAATTAAAGTCAAATGCACAACTGTGTCTTCTTCTTATCTAGTGATTTACTTCGTATTTTACATGTGACAACGGTATATCCTGGATCAAGAAAACCGATAGTCTGCTGTGGCTTCGATATCTGAGTAAGCGCTTAATATAATGAGAAATTTCTTATGATCTGGGGCTGCGCTTATACGCAACTAAGGAGAAAAGACAAATTATACGACCCCAATGAGTCAATTTTTGGAAATCAAATGGTCTAAGCACGACCTTTGACATAAAAACCCAACTATCTACATGTCTGTCCGTCCAAGATCTTGATTGTGGAATAGACCCACCTACGGTGAAGGTACTTCTGTGTTCATTTCGGCCAACTCCGCTTGAGAGTCGCAATACCGACTGGTTCATTACTTGCTGCAGAGCCTAGGCCATAGAGGTATATCATCTGAAGCTAATCAACAGAGGCTATTGGCAACTAGTGTAAAAACAGGGCAACATCTCGAGAGCCCTGTGTTGAATCAAATACTACAGCTTTGGGATGAATATAACTATGTTCCAAAGCCCTCAGTTCTTTTACAGAAACCTTCCCTACAGATCATCAGTCTATCACCGCAAATCAACACATTTCCAAAATCATCTCAGTCCGCATTGAGTCGATCCAAATGGCTGCCAAATTCCTTTCAATTTCTCTTCTCGCCTTTGCCAATCTGGGTTTCGCAGCCCATGAGTATAGCGATAATGACTGGGCACACAGTAAGTCCGCAGGAAGAAGCCCAGTGCGAAATAAAACCTTGCTAACATGATTCGTACAGACCATGACTTTGTTATCAAGGACCTCGCTCCGTACGCATGAGAAATTGTCAATTATATCGATAGAACAGACGTGCTGACTATGTCCTAGGATCTGGTTCTTTTCAGACGGCGCTTGCTATCCTCAAGCTGCTGCAATCAACGGCCAGCAGACAAATGGAAATGGCGCCAGCGGCTGTGGTGTCCCCGCCGGCAGCCATCTGGATTCCGGTTGTCAGTCTCCTGGTCAATGGAGGGGTGCAGGTACCCAAGGCACCTCGTTCCCGACCTACTGGACTACCACCGACTGTAATGACGGTACAAGACGTGTGTGCTACGATATCTACTTCCGCCACGATTCAGGACATGAGTCAGACTGGGAATATGCCTGTGTAGTCCTGTCTAGAGCTAGCAATGGCTTATGGTTCCGTAACGGCATTATCTTGGAAGAGGATCCGAACCAGGCTTACATCTCTTGGGGTAATCTGGAGACCTGGGATGACGGGTAAGTTCACATCTAGTCTCGATATAGGCTTCATACTGAATCAAATTGTTGTAATAGGCAATCATTCACGAACGGAGGCAAGAGAAATGGCAACCACGCCATGATTTACTCAGCCAAGTTTCATCATACTATGTTTGCTCACCAGTATACCGGACTTGGCAAGAATAACTGCGCTACAACTGTATCCGAGATGTTTCGCAACAACGATTTCTACTGGCCTGCTGCCAACAATCTTCAGCCAGGCACAAACATCCCTCGCAACTGGAATTGGGGAAAGGCTGCTTCTAACCCTCAGGCTTTGGCTAGCTCAGTCTGCGGCTACCATCCATTCTAAGATTGCAGCTGCTATATGATCATCGATGTTCCAAAAGTCATATGATCAGTCTATGACTATTTTACATTCCCTAAGACTACAACTGTCATTTCAGTATTGAGGTTATATAATTCCAATACACTTTCATTTATTTCTTATATAAAATTGTGCTGCAGTCTCATTAAAAATATAATCAGACACGTCAACGGGGACTAATGAACTTATGTAGTACTCCGTATCAGCTTACGGAGCTGTCGATATGGGACTGATATTTGGTCAAGTAAACAAGGCCAGCTGTTAATGATTTACTTGCATAGCTGGAGTATTATTGCTCTGAGCGAGTATATTAATGATCCATCCAAATCAGAACTGAATTTATAATAGCGCCAAAATATTATTCTCTGCGTCGCCAGCATTCAGATCACTGCGATTAAGCAGGAGGAAAGGTTCTCCCTTCAAAGCCTATATCTTGTAATACGCTAAGACGTGCCAAAAGTGGATCAGCAAGATTTGCTCTTCACTACCTGCCTATTGAGGCAAGCCTCATAATAAGCTAAACCACAAGCTTTTGTAAACCTAGCAGCTTTTTGACAATGAATACTACGGCAGATATATAATTCCCGTTGTCTCAACAGCGCAGCTTTTCCGTGAGGCCACTTGCTCAGTATTAGCCCAATTTATACCACTCTGGTCTAACGCCAACTTGCATCCAATTATGGCGGCCAACGAATCTGGACTAGTAGATGTTAAATAAAATTTCAGCAGTAGGCAGATCCTTTGCCCAACATAGCCACTACTCTAGTAAAAGCGCCCCTGTTTCAGTATTACAAAATAATTCCTTAGTAGAAGCTTTTCGTCAGCAAGAGAAACACCCTCTCATCGCTCTCCTACTACTTCATTCATTCTCAAGGCTTAGTCAGTCCGGCGCATGCGCAAAGTAGAGGGAACGATATTTTTACCCATAGCTTGCTATTAATGGTATTGTTCAACCGTTTAGTTGACAGTGTCTCTCCCATTGGGTAGATCTGATAACTCGGGTCGGTATCGTCCGATGCTCTCAGGCAACTGCCCAAGGCAAGGCAGGCGGGTTTTCAGACCCAGAGGACCAAAGGAAGGTGCCTTATAGGGTTACCAGCGCTTGGAAAAGATCATCCGGATGATTTAGACCTCTATGAGTAGACCCTTTGTCTTCTCCAATATGGCAGTTTATTGGAATCTCCTCTACTTGTACTTTGATAGTCGGACGGCTACAGTTTTTAACTCTAGGCTAAGAGGTAATACAATAATTGCTACTGATAAGAGTCCCAGCTGTTGGACAAGTGCAGACTAACAGATTCACACCCACTTCACTCTATATATATTTTCGGCCTTTATAAGGTTTATTTTATTCAGAATTTTCCTATCCAAACAGCTCGTTAGATAACACATTTGAAAGAGAAATGGGCGACAGTGCGCTACATATAGGGTAATCCATTAGCGACGATCTATCAACTAAGCGCCACGATTTTTTCTCAAGCTAAAGCTTTGCGCTGATAGGATTGTGCTAACCCAAAATAAGGGGTGCGCAGCGAGCCACCCAATAAAAATGAAATCCGTCAGCTGATATTGGGTAATCTTCCTGAACTTACACTTGATGTTAACGGGGACGACGACGACGCACATTGACGTTAAGTCTCTAAGTTGGGCCTTTCAATATATCCTAGCATAAGTCCTTTTATATGGAGCCGTGAACACGATTGAACTAATAATCCGCCAAGAAGCATGCGTATAAGTACCGATGGTTCGCTGCCTGCTCTTTAGTAGAAACAACAACATTCACAAAACAATCCATGCTCAGAGAGAACTTTTTACTGTTCCGTCATGAGTTCAATACCTAATATAACTCCTTTACCGGCTCCGGTCTATTTACCGCCTCCACGACGTGTTATAACTACTCATAACGCTGATGGAAAAGCCGTTTTTAGCAAAGACCTTTTGGAGAACCCTCCGCGAGTTGACATCCCCGACATGAACTTTTATTTATGTTACACCTTGAACCAAGCGCCAGGTATCTTACAAGACGATCAAGACCTAAAAGAGTACCAAGATCGACTTCCACATAATGTGGGTCTCAGCATTCCTGGCGGGACTCTGCTCCGAGTTGTCGATTTTTTACCTGGAGAGTCGGAAGGACCAATACACAGAACGAAAACTATTGATTTTGGAGTTGTTATTGAAGGAGAATTGCAATTAAACCTGGATAGTGGAGAGAGTACTCTATTAAAACGAGGAGATATCCTCATTCAGCGAGGGACAATTCATTCATGGAAGAACACCAGCACTACCGAGGTTGCTCGGGGATTCTTTGTGTTGGTGGACGCGGATTTGCCCACGGTGAACGGCGCGAAGCTAGCGGAGGAAGTGCCCATCGAGGAACTGAAAAGTGTATAGCAACAAGCGAAGCTTTTAAATTGTATCTGGTGAACAAAGGTACGGGTTGCCAGTGAATCATGGTAATACCTTAATCTTGAGGATATTTCTATATCCACAGTTGAATACATCGTACTTTGGTCTCTAATTATTGCTGTTTAACAAGTCTCATTGTTATAACTCAAATGGAAGTAGCCATATTAGATACGAGTTTCAGTAGTGTTAATGTGGTCGTTGTTTAAGAGAGGGTTGGGATGTCAATCTCTCATTGATGACCCTGATTTGCAAACACGTATTTTTCACGAATAAACGGTTAAACTTCAATTCAGCCACCATCTTGAGACCTTATTTAGAATGTTCATAGCAGTTTGCGCCACCTCCCCACTTGCGTAATGTATAACAGCTGCACTGCCTTTCCGAATCCCATTTTAGCATCATCAAAATCTGTTTGGCATCCCATGGCCCTTCTCTTTGCTTTGTTTCTTGCAAAATCTTCATTGCCCTTTTCTTGTCCTGGGGTTGGATGCTATATACATACACCCAATACATTGGACCAACTATGGAAGTTTCAAGGCTTACATCCGGCGGCGGCCAGCCTAAAGAAGTGTGCACAGTGTGCATCTCCTCACCATATGCAAGCATCTTACTTAGAATCTCGTTTTGAAAGCTCGATGAATGCGCCACAACAGCATGTTCTTCGGGGGGTACTGGCATGAGCTCAATTACAGCCAAGATGGACGCAGTATGAAGCATATCCATGCAAAGGCTGTAATACTCCCAAGTTCCTTTCCTAGGAGCAGCTGGACTGGACATATATGCTTGCAGGCTTAAATCAATAAGGTGACCTCGTTGCCGAAGCCAAGATAATTCTTGATGAGCATGACTTTCTATCCAGAATGTGGGTTGGTGTTTGAAACCTTGCCACTGCCAATCGCGAGACATGACCTCGCTGGCTAATTGAACCCTTGCTTCGTGGCCTTCTGCAATGTTTCTGATGGCCTTGGGTTGAGTGGCGGTGGAATTGGCCGAGTGCTTCCCATACAGCTTGGTTCCCAATATCATCGGGACCTCCGATGAAAAGCAATGCATGCATAGCTCACAGTTCCGAAATTGTAAGACGATTCCCCATAAGTCCTGGCTAGATAAAATCGCGTTCTTTCCCTTTTGACGATACGTAGCCGAGGTGCAGTTACGTAGAGTCTCAAGGTCGACCGATGATTCAATGATTTGTATTCCGTTTTTGAGATGCTCAATGGCTGCTGCGTGGTTCAAGCGAAGGCTTTCCAGATAGATATACGCGAGGCAACAGATTAGAACGATAGCGGTATCATGAACGTAGCGCTTCTGTGAAATATCCTGCCGCAAGACAGAGATAGATCTATTGTATTGTTGGAGTATGAATATTTCAATCCTCTCTTTTGTGGCTCGTGGTATTGAGGCGATATCGGCCACCTTGTATAAATGGTAAGCGGCGCCAACTGCCACAACCGCGTGGCGTACTGCCTCATATTCATGGCTGAGCTGCGGCGCGAGTCGGGTCCAGAAAGATGTAACGCAACATATGTGTAAAGCTACACCCGCTTCTGTTGCACGTCTGCAGGTATGAAAGAAGTTTTTCTCTGTTTCAGTTCCTAATATGCCGTTCACTAACGTTGACGGTATAGCCAAATCATTAGAAGCTCTTGCTAAACTTTTTCGCTGAGCGCTGCCGGATGGATTGACGACTCGAACTGTTAAATCATATCCATCGCAGATCCTGCCCGTAGACAGACACCTGTTGCAGCTTTGCTTTCCTTCATCGCACTTGACGCGTCGTATTCTATCATCCGGTTAGCGTGGCGAGAACGTCTTTCTTGATCGAAACTTACCGACTACCAACTGAATTAGCAACCAACACAACAACAGGGAATGACTCACGTGGGTACTTACCACGTAATACATCCGGTTCTTACTTTGGTTCTCACAGCTCTTCTTGGTTTGGTCTTTCCCGGCAGATCCTCTAACTGCACCATTTTATCCGCAACCTACCAGGTACCTAGCATGAGACCCGTCAAGCTTTGAAGGGTAGGCAACACTCTACCCGTTTGCCCCCTGTTCAAGGGTAACGCGACAACCGTAGTAGGAGAGTTGGCGATTTGGTCACTTTAGTATCTGCGAGGCGCCTATAACACTCACAAGGCCGCAAGCTGGATGGGGAAGGCGAATGCACCACTTACGCAGAGTGTTGCTTGATTGCTTCAAGTTTATTCTAGACGAAGGCAAACCGAGAGCTGGCTATATGGCATGCTCCGCGGCTTCCACAATCTTACACTACTTTATGACTAAGGCAAGGTAAGCAATAGAACTTGTGTGGCGCTATCATGTAGCTAGCATCAGCTTGAGGGGGGCAATTTCTTATTGGTCAGCTCGCTCGTATAACCAATTTTGGAGCCTTGGCATGATTAGCGACGGAATCCTCGAGATTGGTGCTCCGTAGTGTTAGAATCATGACACTATGATGTCACAGTAATATTGTAAATGTACCAATTACAGTCAATACATTGCCTCTTAACATGCACTGCAGTAATTACAACGAGGCCTTCCTCAGGTAGAAGTATATAATTCCATTGTCTACTGTACTTTGTCATGACTGATCAGATTCACCTTGGTATATATAGCCACGTGTATATTCTCGAACAAGCATTGTAGATAAAAATCTACTCTGATGCCACGAGAACTCAGTTCAATGACAAGATTCACGTGCCATTCAATGCAACACTTGGTTCTTCAGCCTTGGGAACAATGCTAGAGCATTTTCGCGATTCACCTGGGCGGCCAGGGCTGGCTCTTGGAATCGGTACGCATCCTGTCGAGATGTGTGGAAGTCAATAATGTCGTTATTTGCGTACGGAGTATCGCTGCCGTATAGTATATGGCCGGGCTTGGCAAACTTCTCCAGGATACACAGTACGTTTTCAGTCCCGTCGCATGACCATTTACATGGATTTCGTGAGTGATGTTAGCTTGCTGGTCGAGACGGATGAACTTTTCTAGGCCCAAGCAGCTCAGCCACATGCCTCCCTCGCCATCCATACATACACCGTCGATCCCGATAAGGCCGTGGGAGGTGTTACCGACCTCACCGGTCGGTGAGATTGTGGCGGGGGACCACACCTTTTGGCGGTTGGAGATCTCGCCACCAGCACCAATGTCCCACTTGAGTAGGCCATATCCAAAAGTCTCAGCGCAATATAACGCCTTGCCATCGGGGCTGATAAATAAGGCATTGGGAAAGATGATGTTCTCCTCAGCGACTTTGACCGAGCCGTCTGTCTCGATGACGAGAAGGCGGCCCGGCCGCGGCTGTTCGCCGTGTAAGACCCGTGCTCCTGTGTCATCCAAGTAGACACGGCCAGTGCTGTCGATTGCCATGTCGCCGCAATAACCAGTCATAACGCCAGACATGTCGGCGTACAGTGTATCTTTACCGGAGGCATCTCGACGGTATAGCTTTGCATCAAACATAGAAGACCAGATGAGCGAGCCGTCGGAGGCGAAGCACATGCCGTTGGGCTGGTTCTTTACCTGATGGAGGGCCTTCTTCTCACCCGAAGAAGGGTTTATGGTGTAGATGATGCGTCCAGTCATATCACTGATGTAGAGGAGGCCGTTGTAATAGCGAGGGGACTCGCCAAACAGGAGCCCATCGGCGAGTTGTGTGTGCATTAGCTCTTTGGGTTCCATCTCTGTGGTGGTATGATGAATATGATGCGATTGAGAATAGTATCTGAAGCTTGGTAGCTGATTTGCCACAGCAGGGAGGACAGCATGCCGTATTTTATGCATGTCTAGATGGCGGAACTCTAGATCTCCCCCGCAATGCCAACCTCTTCGATCAGCCCCCCCGGATAAGATGCCTACATGCTAATCAATATCCTCTACTTCGCCGCTAGCGGATCACAACCGCCTCGTACGAAGAATCGGGGAGGTAGGTATGAACCCCTAAGCACTCACTAAGAACAGAATAATTTGCCGAAGTAGTCGTACTAATGTCTGTGCTTTTTTTTTTTAACTTGTAATCGACAGAATGAATTTACTGCGACTGTGGGGAGGGGTAAGTATGCTGTCCCCAACCTGTCACCAGTCAATAGTGACCAGCTATCTTGAGATGTGTTCGGATGGGTGTTCGGTTCGAATGGAAAGGGGGTTTTTCGTTCAGTCGCGCTAGCCATCGCATAGTGGAATTCTTGAAGCCATTCTCCATGGAAGCTTGCGGAGTTGCTTCCGTGGCATTTTTCAAATTCAAAGCGCCCACCTCGGGGATCCGTACTCTTTTGTCAGCAATTGTCTAGCTTAACCCTAAGCAAAGATTAGGCCAGCCCTGCATTATGACAGTTGCTATCCATTATATACACCTGTTGAAATGTATGTCAATTGGCCTTAGTCTATTACTATGGCCGCCTACTTATGCCTGTGACCTAGACCGCCCCCTGTTGATCAAGTACCGCTACTTCTACTAAGTCGGTGCCCCTATTCTCAACAACACCCATCCGTCCTGTCTACATCACTATCATTGCTTATGGTCAGGACACTGGTGAAATTTTAAAAAATGTAACTAACATAAACACATGTAATACTCAGGGCTTTGCAAACTGGTGGGAAACAAAAGCAAGCCTCATAGAGGGGCTAGATATCTGAGTTGAATCTGCCTAAACCAGCAGCCCTCCTTCGGTGATTTCCTTTTCCCATTGTCTCGCCACTACGGCCTCATACTCTGATATACCTCCGTCTTCGATGTCTGGCGGAGGAGCGTTAAACGCGGGAACTACCCGTGTACCTCTGGCTGTTGCCTCAAATATCGTCCCATCGCCGTATTGTGGATTCTCCAGCAGTTCTAACATAGCGTCAGCAATATCCTCTGGGCTGGCCGCGATTTCGTCTGCACTAATCATATTGCGTTTATCGGGATCATCGCTCCATAACGGTGTCTAGACAAGAACATACTGTCAGCAGAAGCCCCTGGTTCTTCAACTGGTATAAGTATACATTAACGGCACCCGGTGCAATAGCCGCCGTGCGAATTCCGACCGTGTCTCGCAGACGGCCGAGGCTGCGCACAAAGCCGTGCACGCCGTGCTTGCTAGCAAAGTATAATGGTGATCCGATACCATGCACGTATCCAGCCATGCTACCAACAATGAGCAGCGAGCCCGTAATACGACGTGAGGTCCAGTGGGCGATAGCAAGCTGACTGAGCCGGATTGGATGCGTCAGGTTAATGTCTAGCACAGCGTAGTGACCTGGGTCGCCGTCTGCGTTATCTCGTGAAGGACTATTTGGATTTGTCGGTGATTTTGGAGGGTTCCAGAAAGAACTCCATTTAGGCTCAAAAATACCAGCACCAGGAACAACAATGTCAATTTGTGGAAAGGCCGCCTCAGCCGCTCGAGTCAATGCCAACAACTGCGGCCATGATGTGACGTCCGTCTTCTTGAAGAGAGCGACAGGCCTGCTAGCAGATGGCGGTGTTGAAGGATTGTGCGGATACTGTATCAGAAGCTCCTGGGCGTCTGGCCGTAGGCTTATATCACCAACTAGAACGGAGCACCCGCGCGAGAGGAGCTTCTTCGCAAACGCGAGATTGATGCCTAATAATAGTAGTCAGTCTAGGGCCGTCTAACACAATGGCAGGTAGTTGCACCTGAGCCGCCGCCAGTGATAATAGCATATCTGCCTGCTACAGAGAGCGCCATGATCTTACGCAAGGGCACAATCTCCGATAGGCCAGTCTTTCAGATTGGCAACCCTTTCCGGCTCTCTATGTAAATTTGAGAGACGTATTTATGTGCTTGAGTTTCTGAAACTGGTGCCTTGCACTAAATAATAAACACAGACGCCCTTGAACTTGAATGGCTTGTTGAGTGAAAGCCTCCAAGCCGTTTGGATGAGATATCGCGATAATAGGTCAATATTGAACACATCCCCAAGCGTCAACAGCTCGCACCGGATGTGCTTCCGGAGGTGAGGCCGGATGCGTTTCCGCTAGCGTCGACCTAGTTCCAATAATACGAGACGAATTGGTCCCCATCATACTAAACCACTCTTTTCACGAAACATATTTGAAAGCTTCCTATTGATCATCGTTACAATAAAAGACTACTAATTCTCGGCTCACCGGATGTGGCCATGATTGCATGTACCACATATCATATTTGTGTTTGTCCAAGGTCTTGAACACGCGAGATCCGAAAGTCTCTCGGGCCCTGTCCATGCAAGGCGTTTGCAAGAAAAGAGGGAATCGAGACACGATCAGCATACAGAAACAGATAATCTGCACATATCCACCAGACTAGACTTATCCGGAATGGTGATCGTATTCCCCAAGTTCCCCTCATGTGCGCGTAGATACTTATTTTACCTGTTTCAACGAATTTTTTCACCATGCTGAGGCCAGCTTGCTGTGAAATTTTGATGAAAAAGAAAGTAAGTTCCAAATAAGTTTCAAATATTTGTCATTGGGTGATTCGTCCCATGGAGCCCCAGGATGAGACATTTTACAAACTCGGGTTGAGATAAATACTGTAATACTTCTTCGTTTAAAAAATGAAAGGTAAGGGGGCAACTAATGCCCCCCCCTTAGATTAGGGCCTTCAGAATCACCTCAACTGGCATACCCATAGTTGTCTAGCAGCATCTTATCCACCAGTGGCTGCCCCATGGGGAATTTTCAACTGCACATGTTTAGTCTTGGGGAATATGCGGAGAAAGCGGAGTGCAGCCTGGCGCCACCGTCGGTTCCGGTGTGTAACCCACGGTGTGTAACCAAGTGCCATACCTCAAATCATTTAAGCAGGGTGCTAGAGGCCACATGAAATCAGATCTTGTATCTGAATTATCGCACGGCAAACTCATTTACCCAGACTTCAACTTGTTCCCGTGCCGTCTAGCAGATGCCATAGCGGCAAGCCGACGGTGTCACAAATGTCGCCGAGATCTACGGCCGGGTCTCCCGAACCAGGAGGCACTCGTAAACGGCGCCGCACTCCGTTGGCATGTGATGAATGCCGCGATAGGAAGCGCAAGTGTGACGGCGCGAAGCCTGTATGCGGCGCATGCCGTCGACGAAGCATCACGAGTTGTGTCTGGAACGAGGAGAGGATCAGCAAGGTGTGGACCAATAGGTAGTGTTTTCAACCCTGTAAATCCGATGTCAGAACCCTTTCTGACAATTTCACAGTTATGTTGAGGGTCTCAGGGCTCGAATACGAGAGCTTGAGTCGTCACAGAATCATCCATCGGGCCAATCTGTTCATAGACTTCTGTTACCAGAGTTGTCACCGCCGGAACCCGCCAATGCCAGCCCGGAGATGGAGATGCCCCAGCCAATGGCGCAGCTAACAAGCCCACCAGCTGAACAGACTACAGAGAACCTGCCGCCCTACTATACCAACGTACAGGTTGAATACGGACCTGTCGTAAATAATAGCTTTCCTGATTCGCCGAAGGCATTGTCGCATTCATTATTGTGCAGCAAGCCCTCTCCAGCCTACCAGGACCCAGATCCAGATCCGGATCCTGACGCCGACTCAATTAGCGACGGCACTGATGTTAACGCAATGGGTGTCATAGCTCCCTTGAATAGCATCAGTGGTAGGCGAAACCGGAGACCTTCTGAGTATTTTGGTCCCTCCAGCACTGCAAGTCTGGTAGACAGAGCAAGGAATGCTATGGGCCAACAGTGCCGTAAACACTGGTCTGTATTGAATGATAGGCCGTGCTCCCAATGCCAACATGAACTGGTCTCTGTCATGAGCCCGTCTTGTGCTTCATCTGGGCGCTCCCACTCACTCAAGACGGACAGTGCGGTATTTGGCATGACGGTCCCTCCACGCGACGAAGCCAACGATCTTGTGGAAAATTACTGGCGTTGGACACACTCACTCTATCCATCTATCCATCGGCCGTCGTTCGAGGAACGCTACCGTATGGTCTGGTACCCTCAGACTGGGCCACGCTGTCTTGGCATAGAGGCCCATACCATCACGCGGGCGGGCCTTTATACCTCTATGGGTGACCGTCTATTCTACTGCATGCTCAACAGCGTGTTTGCTTTAGGTGCCCTCTTCAGCCCTAGGATGGGCCACAAAGACCGGGATCAATTGAGCCGCAGCTTCTTTGAGCGCGCTAAGAAGCTCATGGATCTAGACATGCTCGCTGCAGGTAGTTTGGCTCTCGTACAGACATTGCTGCTCATGGGCCAGTACCTACAGAGCACTGAGATGTCGAGCACTTGTTGGAACATCGTCGGGCTTGCGGTACGTGTCGCCCAGAACATTGGGCTACACCATGATCCCAAAAACTGCAACCAGGGCTGCTGCCCAGCACAGGCTCTTGACCAAGCGGAGACAGAGATGAGAAGACGGGCATGGGCGGGTTGTGTGTTGCTGGATCGGTGAGTTCTTATTTGCCACATTCTCTCTGCATTTGGTTGGTGACTTACTGCGTGTCAGGGTCCTCTGCTTGACGTACGGGCGGCCCTTGATAGTCCACGCGGCCATGTCGCAGGGCCAGCTCGTCCTTCCACTAGCGATAGATGATGAATATCTAACACGGCTTCCGGATGCTCCAGGATCGCAGCCAGATGAAATACCGAGCCTGACAGAATGTTATACTCAGACGGTCCAACTGCAAGAAATCCTAGGCGAGGTCCTAACCACGTTGTACCATTCGGATCCCAACCCAAGCCCGGGACCTTCGCTCAGCAGTGGGGCAAAAAATGTCGATTTCCACAAGCTTTTCACCGTTGATAGTCTACTCACAGCATGGCATAGAAGACTGCCATCACATCTTCAAGCCAGTCAGTATAAGAATAGCGGAGAGCCCCCCACGCTTAACCTATCAAATAGAGAGGTGGTGTACCGTAGGCAGGCGACAGTTCTGGAGGTTAGGTATGTTAACCTGTCCCTCAAACGTATGGCACGACAAGACAGCACTAATAAGCGTGAAAAGATATCTGCACGTTCGTTTAATGATGCTCCGGCCGGTTTTGTCAGGCCTCTGTGATCCAGCATCTCAATCAAGTGAATTAAGCACGGGTTCGATGCAAGATGAAATGGTGATCAAGGCAGCCGACCAATGCGTGTCTGGAGCACAGGAATTATTACAGCTCATTGAGGAGAATATGTATTTTAAGACGGACCTCCTTGCTCCACCGTGGTACACGGTCTTCTGTATGTCACCTCTGGCAATCCGAGGGTCAAAAGTCGTGCTCATGTCCCTTCACAGATATACATAGCTGCGCCATGGTTTTTCTCATCAGTCTTCTATGCTCTCCAAAGCATATCCAATGTATGGATGACGCCTCACTTCTCGACGGACTGAGCCGCTGTTTCACAGCTCTCAAACGGTACCAGAGTCGAAGCCGTGCGGCGGGACGTTGCCGCAAATTTCTCATCTCGGTGCAGCAAGAAGTCTTTCACTACCGAAATCGAACCGGTTTGTCTCCCTTTAAATCCAAATATGCAGGTCACCAGGGTAACAAATATGGATGCAGGAATGATGAACGATTTAGGTGCCCTCGAAACCCCGGACACCGTAGCCGTGCCGAGCCGTGAAAATGGCTATGTGCGACCAGACCTTTCTACCTGGAACGAAGATCCAAGCCAACTGTCTCGTTCGGACATTGTACAGGAAGATAGACGCTTTGATCAGCACGTTTGGATGTATAATACGCCTGATATTGCGTGGCTAACACAAGGATTGTATTACGAAGAGCAGGCAGAAAACGGTTTATAAGAACTACCTGCATAGAATTTACAATATTACCGATAATATAAAATATTTATAAATATACCAGAGTATGCTATGTATCGGCTTATTCCTTGGCTCGCATTCGGACAACCATGTCTCCCCGCCGGCCTCGAGCCAATGCGGCGTAGTAGCCGTAACGGATCATAGCCCACAAAGGCCGGATAGGCATCCGGTCCATAGCAACATTGTCCGGATAATAGGGTCAAAAAGAACCCTATGCCCATGAAATGTGCGAGCCTCTCCGCGGTCTGAAAGCTAGCTTCATTGCAAGGAAATACTGTACCAATACTAGAAAAGATCATGTCATTGCTCGAGAGCGGAACGGTTCCTCTGTGGATCGGCAACGAGGCTGTCTTGTCGAGCATTACGTTCCCAGTAACCAACAGTGACACTGGTAAGTCCCTGACGGCACACGGCGCTACACTGGAGATTGTTCAGAATGCAATAGACAGTAGCTACCAGGCCTTTAACATCTGGAAACGGAGTAGCCCATGGCGGCGGCGGGAGATGTTCACCAAGGCGGCGAATCTGCTACAAGAGCGTAAAGATGAAGCGGCAGCTATCTTGCGGGCAAGTAAAATCATCGTGACAGATGCCCGACGTGTCCATATATATGACTCTAATTTGTTTTATTTCGTGCTTGCTGCAGGTCGAGACGCCAATTGACGATTTTATGGTCCATCAAATTAATATTCAGACCAGTATCGACCTCTTGGAAGAACTAGCGGGCCAGATCATGCACACCACGGATGCTGTCGTCCAGCCCAGTAAGCAATCAGATGATATGCTGGCCATGGTCTTCCGAGAACCTCTGGGTGTTCAGGTCGGCATCGCACCCTGGAACGCGTCATTATTTCTCGGTATGCGGGCAGTGGCAACGCCCATCGCTTGCGGCAACACAACAATTCTCAAGGCTTCGGAGAAGACCCCAATGGTTCATCACTTCATCGGCAGGCTTTTTCACGACGCAGGCTTCCCGGCGGGTGTGCTCAACGTCATACAGCACTCGCAGGAAGACGCCGCATCGATTGTGAACGCCCTCGTCTCGGACAGCCGTGTACGAAAGATCAATTTCACAGGCAGCACAGCTGTGGGCAAGATTATAGCAGCCAACGCTGCGAAGCACTGTAAACCAGTTCTGCTTGAACTGGGCGGTAAGTCTGCACAGCTCGTGCTCACAGATGCCGACCTCGATAAGGCAGCACAGGCAGCCGCCATTGGAGCTTTCACACACGTACGTCGGCTCATATCCTGTTCTCACGCCAGACAAGACTAATATACGTACGCAGCATGGGCAGGTATGCATGTCGACGGAGCGGATCCTTGTAAGTAAAAGTGTCCTCGACAAGTTCTCGGAGAAGCTCGCCGCAAGTTCGATGCGGTTGGGTAAGAACGTTTGTCATGGGGCTTCAGTGGACAAGATTGCAGCACTTCTAGAGGATGCCTGGGCAAAGGGAGCAAGAATTCTGGGTGGCGGAGAGGGTGCGCACCAAGATGGCTCGTTCTTGACGCCTCGGATCCTCGTCAATGTGACTAGGGAAATGAAGATCTGGCATACTGAAACATTCGCCCCAGTCGCCCTGCTCATACCTTTCAGCACAATCGACGAAGCCGTGGCATTGGCCAATGACACGACATACGGCTTATCGGCGAGCATCTACACGGCCAACATCCCACTGGCTATTGAGATTGGGCGGCGTCTCGAGAGCGGTTCAGTTCACATCAACTCTATGACGATCCATGACGAGGCGCATATGCCTCACGGAGGCGTCAAGGACAGCGGTTGGGGCCGATTTGGGGTGCCTTGGGGTAAACATATTCTTGGTTGTTACGGACCATCTTTGGAGCCACGCTAACTGAAGCCAGGATTTGCCGAGTTTACACAACTAAAAACAATCACCATCACAGATCTTCATCTGGCAGGCTAAGAGGAAATTTTGCGAACTGTAGCTAGCTTAAAATGCGACTGAGTATAAGCCTTACATTAAACGTGCATTGTAGTACTCGTCGTATCTGGACACTTATCCTTTCCAGGAATCCAAGATGCACATTCTAACCGGTCAAACATTTGGATATTTTTATCATATCCCTCTCAATGTTGGTCGGTTGGTCCCAATTGAGTGGAGCGGCGGAAGTGTTTCCGGCCCAGCACCTTGACTCGCCTAGTATATAGCATGCTTCTGCTCCCTAAACCAATGCTTTTCCAGTTGACTAATTACCTTTTGCTTTTTTTCCCCTTGCAGTTGAAATCATTTCTATTTTGAAAATGGAAGGTCCGAGCAACATCCGCACGAAAGCCTACGTTGTACTGGGCAAAGGCAATCCGTTTACTCTCTGTGATGTAGTCTTGGACGAGGTACAACCAAACGAGGTTCTAGTGGAGATCTGTTACACAGGCATATGCCATACCGTATGTGCTTCTGCTATTCTCGTGGTATTGCCATTCTGTTGACCTCGTGTAGGATGTCATTGTCCAGCATGGTGGCATGCCATTGGGAGGCTACCCGGCTGTGCTCGGGCACGAGGGAGCAGGCGTTGTGAGGTGGACAGGCTCCGCAGTCAAAGATAAATCTTTGAAGCCAGGAGACAGTGTACTGCTTTCATTCCACTCCTGTCGCCAATGTAGGTTCTGTCTCGAAGGCCGGTGTGGCACATGTCCACACATGACGGAGACCAACTTTGTCCGCCTTGCCCGTCGAGACGCTGGAGCAAAATCACCGATATCACTCCTAGACGGCACAAAGGTTCATGGCCAGTTCTTTGGGCAGTCCTCTATGAGCAAGCTGGCTGTCGTCACAGAGGCGAGCGTAGTCAAGGTTGATGCGAAGCCAGAAGAGCTCCGCACATTACCTCCATTGGGGTGTGGCTACCTGACAGGTGCTGGAACTGTATTCAACGTGGTCAAACCCCGGGTTCAAGACTCTGTAGCCGTCGTGGGCATGGGAGCCGTTGGGATAGCGGCGATGCTAGCTGCAAAGTCCCTCGGGGTGCGACAAGTCATTGCTATCGATGTCGTTGAAGCCAAGTTGAAGTTGGCATCCTCTCTGGGGGCGACACATATTGTCAACTCGGCATTAGAGTCAAATTTACAGGCCGCGCTTCATACCCTTATCCCGGGTGGTCCAGACAAGATCATAGACACAACCGGTCTGGTTGGGGTGCTCGAAGCCTCAGTGAAAGCCCTTGCTCATGGTGGCACACTAGCTCTAGTGGGAGTTCCGGCTCCAACTACAACCTTGCAAATCAATGCCCTGGATTTGCTGCTGTCGTGTAAACGAGTGATTGGTGTCATTGAAGGAGCCGCTGATCCGCATATTGTATTGAGTCTCTTCCCCATACTAGTATATTTAGGCTTGCTAACTCTTCGATTTGCAGCTAATTCCTAAGCTTCTAGAGCTCTACCGGGATGGAAAATTCCCCGTCGACTGCTTGGCAAGGATCTATGCCCCGGAGCAACTTGATGAGGCGATCAGGGACTTGGAATCGGGACTCGTAAGTGCTACAACTTAGCATGGGTTCAAACTACTGATGAACATTAGATTGTGAAGCCAATCTTGTCGTGGGATGATCTTAACTGAAGATGATGATCTGGCTACCGCTAACTCGAATTTTATTTTACAAAAAAGTAAGTCTAAGGAAGAACGAAATACACGCCTTTTTCATAAATCCCCCAACTCCAAGACACTTATTATATGTTGAAAACCTTGAAGAATAATTCCATTGATTGTATACATGATTGTCTGTACCGGGCTAGAACTACACGGGAAGACATGCGGATATGCAGCCGGAGGTTGACCCACAGGCGGCATGCCTTCCGTCTATATATACTTAAAGTCTCGGCGACATAAAGTACTTTTTAATAGATTAATGTGAACAGTATTTACGTATATTGTAATTTTAATCATGGCTTCTGCTATTTCTCGTGCTAGGCTGCTGGCAGACAAAGTGTCTGTAATTACGGGAGCCTCCTCTGGCTTAGGGCAATCCATGGCATTGGAGTTTGCCAAGCAGGGCGCTACTGTCGTCTGTGCCGACCAAACACCTGGCTCCAACGGTAACAAACATCAGCCCACACATGAAATAATATGTAATCAAGGGGGTAGGGCAGTCTTTATATCGACAAATGTTGCAGATGAGAATGACATGCTGAAGCTCATCCGGGATTCAACAAGTCAATTTGGACGAATCGACATGTAGGTTCTACAACATATAGTCGAGTCATTATTGTTAGAAGCTGATAGTGTGTAGAATGGTTAACAATGCTGGCATTGCCCCGGAGGCCTCTGAGCCGCGACCCATCTGGGGAACGTCACTGCAAACGTTTGAACGAACTTGGGGGGTCAACATGCGCGGTGTCTTTCTTGGTTGCAAATATGCTGGTATTCAGATGATGAGCCAGGAGAGAAATCGCGGAGACAGTAGGGCTGGCACTATTATCAACATCGGATCAATACTCGGCGTGTTGGGGAAAGCAGGCACGCCTGCATATTCCGCCACCAAGGGGGCCGTAATCGCCTTTACACGAGCAGTAGCTATGGACTATGCCCCGCACGGTATCCATTGCAACTCAATTCTCCCAGGATGTAGGTCTATGTATGGCTATCACAGAAGCTTATAGTATCAACGCTGACCCAACGTAACCCCTTAGTCACGCGAACCGCGATGATCTCAGCAATGACGGACAATATCGAAATCGAGCGAGAAATGACACAACGACACCCTCTCAAGCGACTTGGAGAACCACAGGATATCGCAAGTGCTGCTGTTTTTCTGGCTAGCAGCATGTCAGATGGGATCACTAGCTTGAACTTGTCTTTGGATGGTGGATTACATGGTCAACTAAGCGTGTGAACCTTGATATCCTTGGATGGCAATTATAACACTTGGAGTACCATCTAAAGATTCGAAAATTCAGCCAGTTCATATTGTTCAAGTAATTTTTAAGTTCTTCCATAATTAGACGGCTATATCCTGTCTACTTATCTAATCATTCTGTCTCAATATCTTTGTATACTTTGGCTTCAATCCCCATCCAAAGCTCAACAACTTTGCGGTCAGCAAACGGCAGAATCTGTGATGCGACGAGGCCAGCAACGCCACGTTGCCGATCACACCACCAAAACGCATTGGATAGGCCGGACCATTGACTAGTCTTCTCAGAGCGGCCGGTCGGGCCGTGAGTAATCATGAAGCCCAGTCCCCAACCTTGCGGCGTCGGCGGCGGGCAAGGTGGATAGAAAGCCTCGGCCTCATAGACCAGCTCCGGCTTTATGGCAGGTAAGTGACATCGGGCAAAGTTTGGCAGCCATGTTAGCTGGTTGGTAAACATGGCTTCAACGGTAGCAGGCGCAAGTATCATCCGGCCCGAATGAGACCTGCCGTCTCGCAGCAACATGGCAAGGATTTCTAAGACAGGAATCAGCACAGCAATGGCAAATAATAATTTACGTTGAACAGACTTCCAAATTCCCGAATGTTCCCAAAAAGTCCCGCGCCGCCGCTGTGGAAGCTGTGGGCTGCATCTGACTCCAACGGACGGTTGAGGAGAGGTGGTCGAGGAGAGAGGTGGCCCTCTTGGTTGCGTTGCCACATGCCAACGAATCTCTCTTTCATCTCAAACGAGGGGGTCATAGTCAAGTCACGGATGCCCAAGGGAATAAATATGTGGCGCTGCATGTAATCACCTAATCTCAAGCCTGTAACTCGCTCAACGGCTACGCCCGCCCAGTCCATAGAGATCTTACATACGGCTTAGCATGAGCGTATTGGGGGGAAAAATTACACAGTAGACATACTTACACCATACTCAAATGCCTCTCCTGGTTGATTGACAAGAGGTTGTAGAATGTCATCCATGTACCCGGAAAATTCGTTGAAATTGACTCCGTCAGCGCGATATGCTTTAGAATAGGCCTGAAGCTTGGCGTTCAGGAATGAATATCCGAATCCAGCTATTTTCAATTGTTAGCATTTCCATGGCTCTCTCTACGCTAGCCTGTGACAAGATACCTGTATGAGTCAACAACATTCGTAGTGTGATGCGGGACCGCGCAGGCTCCAGAGAGCCATTCTCCTGCACAACCTTGAGATCTACAAGCTCTGGGCAGAGATCTTCCAACTGGTCTGCATCATCGAGACGGAGAATTGATGCCTCGACGAGCTGCATACAAGCGATACTAATGACGAGCTTTGTACAAGACGCCAGCCAGTAAATATCGCTACGGTCTTTGCAGCCCTTTCTTCCCAATGAAGCCGTCGTGGAGTGCGCGAAGATTTCTGGCTGAGAACCGATACTAACAACAACGGCACTAGCACAAGGCACGCCAGTCGGTTGTCCCGTGCAAGCGACATCGAGAAGGCTACGAATATCAGCCGCAGCCTGCTCAGAAAGAGAAAAGGTCGCCATTCTGATACTTTAGTGGACCCGTATATGCATTAGACGTCTCATACAATCCATACCAACATTCAACAGCGATTTTAAATCCCTTACAGTATTTTCTACGGATGGCTAATGCGTCTGTCGGAAGATGGAGAGCGCCATCACGGGCGGGTAGGGATCCCGAATGCCGGGCTCTGGGTGTGAAACCCCCGGAAGCAGATCCGGTGCCGGCTTATGGTCCGCTACAACTGTCCCGTTGTGTTGAGAGGCAGCCATCCGTACAACCTGTCTGAAATAGACGTCATACGACATCTTGATAATCTTTGTGCGCCTTGTGAAGCTGTCGTAACCGCGAGACGGCGTTATGGCTGAGCAAGTCGATGTTCTCATCTGTGGCAGCGGGTCTGCGGGGCTTTGCGCGGCTGTCTGGCTAGCACGATGTGGCATCAGCTACAAGATCGTGGAACGCCGAGATGGCCCGCTCGAGAATGGCCAAGCAGATGGTGTGCAGTGTCGGACCGTGGAGATATTCGAAAGCTTTGGCATAGCCGAGGACCTCCTCAAAGAGGCCTATCATGTGCTCGAGGTTGCTTTCTGGGCTGCAGAGGGCGAGGGCATTAAACGTACTCACTACGCAGCCGACACGGAGCCTGGCTTGAGCCATCAACCTCATGTCATCCTGAATCAGGCGAGGATAAATGGCATGCTGATTGAAGAGATAGAGCGGGTGTCCGGAAGCGCGGGGATTGAGTACGGATGCGACGTACAAAGCGTGGAAATTGATGATATCGTTCACGAAGACTCCACCGCTTACTGCGTTACCACCAGAGCCATTTCTAATGGGCAACAAAGGGTCTTCCGATCAAAATATGTGTTGGTCAGTTGGCCAAACAACCACCTTCTCACACTTTTGCTTCACTGCTAACAATAGGCTAGGCCTGTGATGGAGCTCATAGCGCGGTTAGGAAATCCCTGGGCTTTGCCATGGTCGGGGACTCAACGAATGCCGTCTGGGGTGTTATGGACCTCCACGCCAGAACTGATTTCCCCGACATCCGAAAGAAGGCAATCATCCACTCACGCGCCGGAAATCTCATGATCATCCCCCGCGAGGGTGACTCTATGGTCCGCTTCTACATTGAGCTTGGTGATGCGGCTGTCAGCGACGTCAAGTTAGCTGACTTGCAGGAACGGGCGCGTCGAATTTTCCACCCCTATTCCGTGGAGTTTATGGAGACAGTCTGGTGGTCGGCATACTCAATTGGACAGCGCCTGGCTGACAACTTTGCCAAGGCTGGGCGTGTCTTTCTCACAGGTGATGCTTGCCACACGCATTCGCCAAAGGCCGGACAGGGGATGAACGTGAGCCTGCAAGATGGCTACAACATTGGCTGGAAGTTGGCAGCAGTTCTCCAGGGCCAATTTTCTCCCAGAATTCTGGAAACATATGTTTCGGAGCGCCAGAAAACGGCCGCACAGCTGATCGATTTTGACCGATTCTTTACAAAGCTCTTCTCCTCTTCTTACAGACAAGCGAATGGAATTTCTTCGCAGAATTTCAAGGACCAATTTGTCAAGGCAGGCCGATACACAGCCGGCCAAGGCGTGAGATACGAAGAATCAGTCTTTGTATCTCCAGGCCCAGCTGATGAGAGCCTAGCTCGGAGCGTTATCGTCGGAACGCGCTTCCCCAGCGCCCAGGTTGTCCGGTTCTGCGATGCCCGCCCAGTGCAATTGGTGGCAGCACTCCCCGCCGATTCTCGGTGGCATGTTGTTGTTTTCGCTGGTGACATATTGCAGCAGACAGCGGCCGCCAGGCTTATCAAGGTCCGTCGGATCCCCAAATACATTGTAGGGCCGCCACGCTGACAGAAGTTATATGCATGTAGACTGCAGCAGAACTGCAGGGCATCATCGATACCTTTACACCAGATGGCCAGGATACTAATTCCATCATCCAAGGAGTGCTTGTGCTTGCGTCCAATCGTGTCAAGGTTGAACAAAACATGATTCCCGAAGTGTTCACCCCGATAACCGGCAAATGGAAGATCAAACGTGAGGTAGTGAGGCTAGGTCCAATACTTCCTAGGCTAACATGGCCAGATCTCCAAAAGGTCTTCGTGGATGACGAGAGTTACAACTCAGGTCATGGGAAAGCATACGCAGCATACGGTATTCATCCTGAGGGTTGCTTGATCATCATTCGCCCAGATCAATGTACGTTGTCAAACTGTGTATATGATATGGTAATAAATTGAAATGCGCTAACTATAGGTACTTAGATGTTGCGAAGATTTGCTCTTTAGATAACACAAACGATGTCCTGAATTTCTTTAGCCAATTTTTAATCTCTAGGTAAACAATGAAGCTAAGCAAAAGCTTTTGAAGTTTCTAAAAAAGGGGTCTAATAGAGTAATTAACTCAAAGCTGTGTAATGAAAAAGGCCTTCTTAATATGCATCTCATTGCAGTAGGTATAGTAGTTGAAGCCATGTTTACAACGCGTTTCGAATCTCGTCATATGGTTCGTCCAACAACTGAAGTCTCTCGTTTAACGCAGCCCCTAGATGTCTCCATATATCTTGAGGTTCCTTGTCTCGAGGCCCGCTTTCTTGACCGAAAAATCTCTCTTTAGTGGTAGTAGTACTAGAATCGCTTTCATCACGCCCTTCAGTAGGCTTCTCGATGATATTGAGGTACTGTCGCAGAATGTAGAGGCGGAGAGGAGGTGGGAGCGCTAGGCAAGGTTTCGATGTTCGGAACTCCCCAGTACACATAGGTGGGGTTTGGACCAGGATTACAGGACCGAGCGCGAACTCGGTCGGCTTTACCCGAGAACTACAACCCTGTGGCTAACCTGGCAACCTGGCTGCTGATCGATACCGCTGATCAATATCGCTGATCACTACTCCGTATCGCTGATCATACCGCTGATCACTCCACTACAGCTGATTGATCCCGTTTCGATGCACGATACCAGGACTGAACGATGTGAATTATCCAGCAGCTTATGTCAGTGTCAACGCAGACAATGTCATTAGCTAATGCCTTGCTTTCAACTGCTTCTTACGCTACAACATCCGTACCTTATGGTGCCCATTGTTTATCTCAAGCCTTCTGTGTCTGCAAACGTCCGGGACTCCAACCAATAGTTTTTGCCGTTGCATATCAACATTGCAGCTTTGTGGGGGAAGTGTATGTGACTCGATCCCCACGGTGGTTATGGGTATAAGAAACTCATCATTCGGCGAGGAACAAATGGAGTGATGTGTGCCCGAATGTATGAGCAGGCGTACCCTCCTAGACATCATGACTGACAACATTCCATTCGCCGCTCCTTGATTGCACATTTTGAATTCGCATGGTAGGCTAGGTGATTGGGAGATGCCGCGCCTGTCCATATATCCCAAAGTATGGACAACACAAATACGTTCATTTATAGGGCCATCAATGGAGATCTAGATATTAGGTTTGGTGTAAATGTCTTAGGACAAGGTGAATATTATTGTAGATAGAGTCATCTTGAGACCATGTCATCGTCACTTTGAGCGTGACATGGCCCTGCCCTTATCTACAGTCTCCATACTAGTAATGCAAGAGATGCCATAGACTGATTTGCTTGCGGAATTGTGTACCATTCATCGGTAGTCGGGGTCTTTTGAAGTTGACATAAGCCAGCTTCTGGCTAATACCATCTATAAATTTTACGTGCAGACCTTAGACTCGAATAAAACGATCCAGCCATACCCGGGACTTGAAAAGCCGCCAGTGAGATTGTTTCATGAAATTGCACTCCGCGAGGCTCACTTCAGTGCCAAATAGAGCAGATATTGTATCTGTAAACTCTATTGAACGATACACTTTGCAATTTTCCATCTTTGATCCATATTTTTAAATCTTCTTGAAGACCAGCCCCAAGAGAAGAGTTTCACTCAATTATTAAAGAGTCTTCAATTGAACAGTGCGAACCTCCAGAGCCAACTGCTCAGAGCCAGGTATGCAGTTTAGAAAACATGGGAGATCGGGGCTTAATTGACGTCTTACTTCGTATGCAGTGATATTGTGACAATCCAAATCTTCCATCTCTTCCTATGCGGCAATATTTGATGTCGCCTTTCGCGAACAGTCGAATCGCAACTCAGGCTTGGATAGGGACATCAAAAAGCCATCTAAGTTCGCCAGAACATAGGTTCCATGTGATTCTGAAAAAAGATTGAGGAGTATCAGCCATGGTTAAAAATTCGCCGCAACCACGTGTGCCAAAGTCAAGCAATCTTCTACGGAGTCTCTATTCTTCAACACCAGTATCGCAGAATGCAGAAGCCGCATCGCCTAGATACTTGAGCCATATTTGTCGAGCAACCGATTCGCCGAGTAGCGGCACACGCTGCAACGTTTGTCAAGCATTTCTAACCATGTCTTGACTAGGCATCCAAGCACAAGCAGCATGAGTCCATGCGGTGGAACTCTTGAGCTGCCCAAATCGGATGTTTTTCTCACTATTATTGGATCCCTGTAGCACCGTAGCTTCGGCAAGGAGGAGCAACCGTCTGACTACGGCCTCCAAATCGGCGGCTGACCCGAGCCCGGCCGTGAAAATGCGGCCCACCTCGATCAGCATGTTGCCTGGCTCAACGTCCTTGCACCCCTGGCATCGACAATCACATCGGGGAATAGATTGCATGCGGACGATCCCACAAATCCTGCACGGTTGTGAATACTTCTGGAGAACGCCAGCAGAAAATTGCTGCATATGCCCCTTGTCCATCCCACTCGCCTTCGAACCTTTCTTCTCCCCATGCCCCTTTAAACCTCATCTCGTTCTCTCTTCCAGTGTCACAACTGGTTGTTGCTAGCGCCGTAGTTGCCTTGCCCCCACCTCCTATATCATTTTCAGGAACATCCAGTTAAGTTGAATTGGAGCTTACTGTACCCAGAAACTCTCTCCGCCCCACCCACTAGTTGAATATTCAGACTTACAGCCTTCCAGGATGGGACAAAACCCGTTAGATGTAAAATGGATCATGTCCTGGTCAGCGCTAAGAGTCCGTGCCTTACTTGATTAAGTGCTTGCATATGAACAAGGTGAAATTTTTTTGAAACGCTCATTTAACATAGGACTGTACTCTTGCTTGATTAGGTAGGAGTTGGGGCAATATTTTGTCAATTATGCAAGGGGTAAGCTTACACAAGTGCCCGTTCAAACTAATCAGTGTCAACTTGAACTGATCGATGCCAACCACCTACACTTTTACCAAGACTTTGTAAGATACCAAAACAGGAAGACATAGAAGGTTATCTTATGGAGGAGCAATTAGGAATCCATTCGTTATAACGAATCCATATCCGACAGTTCGTAACGTTACTCGATCTGCCAAATAAAATAGTAATACGCCCTTATCAAGTGCGCTACACTCTACTCATTCTGATTGAAGCCAAAGGACCCTCTTCACGTGTGCTGATTATGCAGGATAGGTAGCTTTTGCAAGTCGGTAACTATCAAGAGCCTTGCCAAAAATAATACTGACTTAATCTTAGAGTCTCCGTAATTAACAGTCTGGGGCCATTTCCTCCCATGCTAGACTATTTCCTTTCCTTGAGACGAACCTATGATCTGATGCATAGCCGCCCTCAAACAGCTAGCCAAAGACTTAAGGGCATGCTGGAGTTTCACCTTTTCAAAGTGGAACATTTCTACGCGCAAATTGACTTCCTGGAACGTAGGATCATGCTATGTCGGTAATCTGGGCACGCAGAGCGTGGTGTTCACAGACCTTAATTCCCAGCTAATAAGACTCAATGACAGGGATTAAATCCCAAAACTAACAGTGAGACATGTAACAATTGCGAGCGCGGGCGCCTCATCACATCACACCTACTCAGACTGGTAATGGCATCTTGGAATCACACCTACTCAAAATGGTAATGGCATCTCAGAACCACCTGGTCGGCTTGGCTAGCGAGGTTCAAATGATCTATATAAGAGTGAAGAGATATCTACGGCAACAATGAAGGACCTGACCATCAAGCTCATCAGCAGCCACAGACTTTTCAAGGCTCTTCGCTGACTGCCAATTAATCAAGTCAGCTTCAACAACTATATTTGACAATGCATCAATCATTCGCCACACTCTTTGCCCTTTGCCTGGCCTCCAGCGCCATGGCTATGCCCCACAGCAACCTGTTCACTCGACAAACCTCCCCCGACGGATCTTGCGGTGGTTCCACTGGCTTTGTTTGCGCGACGGGCTTCTGCTGCTCACAATTTGGTTTCTGCGGTACCGGCCCCGATTTCTGTGGCAACAACGGAGGCGGTGGCAGCACCGGCGACTGTTCATGGGAGGGCCACTGCGCTGGTGCTTCGTGCAGCACTGAAAATGACTGCTCTGATGACTTGACTTGCAACAACGGTGTCTGTGGCACCGATGGAAGCGGCGGCAGCACTCCTCCCGGTGGCGGTACCACTCCTCCCGGTGGCGGCAGCAACCCTCCCGGCGGCGGAGGCATCACCTGTACCTCGAGGGTGTCCTACAGCGGTGATGGCTCGACCGGTGCCGGCTGGCCTGCGCAGACTGCCTGGGCCAGCTTCGACAACTTGTGGAATGCCAACATCAACGCAATTAACGCCGCGTGCCAGAACAACGGATGGGGCGTTGCAAACAACTCTCCCACAGAGACTTCGCAAGTCCAGGCCGCTATCCTCAGCATCTCAGCCTCGTCCGGTGTCGATTCGCGCTACGTCTTGGCAACTGTCATGCAGGAGAGCAAGGGATGTGTGCGTGTTCCCACGACTCCAGGTTTCTGGGCCAATCCCGGTTTGATGCAGGACGCCAACGGCACACACACCTGCTGGATCGGCCCAAACAACGGCATCAACCCCTGCCCCCAAAGCCAAATTGTAGGCATGATCCAGGATGGCACTACAGGAACTGCGTCTGGTTCTGGTCTGCAGCAGCTTCTGTCCAGTCTGAGGACTACTGGAGCTCAGCAAGTCTACCAGGCTGCCCGTCTTTATAACTCAGGCAGCATCCCCTCCAATGGAGACTTGAGCGGGCCTGGTGCTACTCCCTCATACTCCTCGGACATTGCCAACCGTCTGCTTGGCTGTGTTTTCTAATCAAGCAGTATCATACTATCTTGATGAGGAGATGGTAGTGGTAGGGCAGACATTACCTATAACCCTACAGTATACCATGCATTAAGGAGATGTTTCTATTCAGGACATGTATATAGTTTGGACATGCATATGTTTTGGACATGTATGTATGATGAAGATGTCTATGTTATCGAGACGTATATATTATGCAGCTGTACATATCAAGAAAACGCATTCTATGTCACTTGTCTTGAAACCCTTTGTGAAGTTCATTGCTACTTTTAGCTACGACAGTGTATCAAAGTGATTTTGTAACTTATAACCCAAGCTCCTCATGATAATGGACTTGTTATTGCGATGTGTTGCCAAGGTGTAGGATTCACTTAACAAAGGTCTTAGTTATGTGTCATTAAGTCGGGGGTAGGACCTCTTACATGTATAAAGTATACGAAATCTGCAGATCAATCGGCCAGGGATACCCTGCAGTGAACGCTTATGGCTGTTCATTCTGCTAAATTCCACGCTTCGAATATACTTAAATGGGTATCCAATAGTAAAGACTAAGGTTGTCAGTTTCACTATCATGGAAATAATGACTTTCCCGTTTTAGAATGTAATGTATACTATTGAAATACTGCCGCTCATTATTAAAGAGATATCCACGGAGCCTTGGATATTTCAGCATCTAATTCAGTGGCCATAACGACCATCGCCGTTTCACGACTATGAGCGATAAGGCTCAACATTGTAAATGGCCTATTTTATACCTGCAAAAGGAAATTTTGCCTAAATCCGTAAGGGATCATCCTTTGCGGATATAGCTGCATCATCATCTACTTATATGTAATGGAATATTTCTATCAGTAGGTAAGGTGCATACCTATGTATGCAGGTCTGGGGAGGCGTCACGTGAAATTGATGCGGTGGCTCACGTCAGCCACTTTACGGGAGCCATCCGAATCGCATCCTCGTCGACTAACATTCTGTCGTGTCCCTCATCTTCGTACTTCACACGGCAACGGAGCCCAGGTATTCGTAACCAGTCTTACTTGGCAAGGGGAATTCCGAAATTGAGGCACAGCCTACACTCCCATTTTAAGCTATAGCGTCCTAATCTTCGAAAGATCACCCCTGTCATCTTGCAAGTTGCTCTGCACAAACACCATGTCGTCACAGGACCCAGTGGCACTGCAGCAGGATGTGAGTTCCTTGAAACGCAAAATGAAACCCATTCGCCGTGATATGGAGAATAGACGGCAACAGAATGTCCAAGCTCAAAAGAAGTATCGCGAGTAACTGTCTTCCTTAGCAAATGCTCCAGTATTGTGAATCCGTAGAGAATAACAATACATGTAACTAACCAAGTAAATGATGTATAAATATTCAGGAGAAAAACAACGCCAGCGCCTGAAAACTCTCAAGGCGATCGCTGCATCCGCCGGACAGAACCATGCCATTGACAGACCATGTTCGCAAACAAGCCTGTCAGAAGTGGCGACGCACAGCGACAACAGCAGCGCACTAGATCATTGTTTTTCGATGTCGTCTGCCTCCCACCATCTGGGATCCGAGACAGAACGTCCGCCACTCACTCCACGGCCTGAAAGCACCTCATTATCCTAAAGTATGCGGGACTCTCATTCAGGCTTGAGCTCTTTTTTCGTCCCAGAAGAAGCTCGATGCCCCATCTCACAGCCAAACGACACTCCCTCACCTTTCGATATCAGAAACAACCACTCTATCTCCAGTCCACCGGCTTCAACACCTGGAGAATGGCAACTTCAGACTTCACCATACGATACTACACAGTCCCATCCCCCTTCAATAACATGGGACTCATGCACGCATGTCAGCTCTTCATTCCTCGTGCGTGACAGAACCAGGCAAAACTTTAGCCCATATTGGACTACCGCAATTGAATGCGGCTGCTCAACACCACACGTACAACTGCGCTCGAGAGACCCCTCTTCCCATAGCGATATGCATATTATCAGCTTCGGTGCCGATGGCATGGCCACAGATTTATGCATGAGCAGCAGTATCCACATTGAGCGAGTATGTATCGCTGCGGCGCTGTACACACTTGTGAAGTATATGGGCATTGGAGAGGAGACTTTCTGCGCGGACGACTCGCCCTCGCCGTTCCACCGGCCGAGCTTGGAATTTGCTGATGACGATACACGGAATCGGACAATTGGCATGGTCCAACAAATGTACAAGACCTTGAAGCCAGATTTGAGACCAATTGCCGAGCAGATCGTGGTAAAGCACCATCCCTATATCGACATTCTGCCCTTCCCAACGTTGCGAAGAAACCTTATTATGCATCAGAAGCAAATCGATGAGGATGAATTCTTGAACGATACACTGACTGGTTTGATCTGCTGGGGTGGCGCGGGCACGTCAAGGAGTGATACAGATAATGCGACGGGGCACGCGGCTACGGAAACAGTGTGGGATGTACGAAGTTGGGAGGCCAAAACTTGGTTTCTGAAGAAGTATTGGTGGCTGCTTGGTGGGGAGGATGGAGAGCTGGTCAGACAGAGTGAGTGGTGGCGGAGTGTTAGGGGAGAGGAACTGAATGCAGATCTAGTTGCGTTCAAAAGCTGACCTGGAGATAGATTTAGAATTGAGTATATATTTGTATCATGAGTCGTTACCAAATGCCGTATGTGATTGACTGGTATTGTTGCACTTGGATTCTGTACAGACCGACGGCAAGACTTTGACTCTGCCCATAATCCGAATCAAATTCAACGGGTGTTTTCATTAAATGGCACAACTATCACCTCCAGCTAAGCCAATACCTAGAATGGCGTCCCGTTCAGTCTTTCCATTCGTCTCTACCCAGGTTCACAATATCAAGTTGTTCCAGCACCCAAAACCTTGAAGGAGCTCGCCCCTCTTCTACCATCCTCACAGCAGCCACCGCAGCTCTCCCGATAATCGTTTGATCTTGCGCTACAGAAAATCATCAGTCTTGGTGATCCCAGTGCAGAATGTCAAATGAAGAGAAACAGAGTGAAGTTGCTCATACCCCACTTGTCTTGGAATCCGTGTCCGAACTTCTTCATCCCATGAAAGATATTCTCCAGCCACTTATTCTTTGGGTCTTCTCTTCCCATAATCATTCCTGGTCTCAAGATTATGGCATTCTCAAAGTCCAATTCCTTGATATGTTTCTCGACGCCCCTCTTCATTTTGGCATAAGGTGTCAGGGCAAATGGGCTCAGCGCCCCGCTTGTCCCTGCGCTCGAACAGTAGACATACGTCTTAACACCTACTGCTCTTGCCGCTTTTGCATTTTCTACACATAAATCGTGGTCGATTGCCCATTGCGCGGCGACAGAGCCTGCGCTGCCGATCGTAGTGCCGACAGCGTTGAAGACCACCGAGGGAACCGGGGATAGAGCGGCGATTAAGGGGCCCCATTGTGTGGTGTCAGTTTCGATGATGGATTGAAGTCTGGAGTCTTGCGTTGGCGGGGCGCGACGGGATATAGTTGTGATGGACGTGCAAGTAGTAGAGGGGAGGAGGGTAGCAAGGACTTGGGAGCCCACTGCGCCAGTGGAACCAAAGATCAGGGCCGTTGTCATGATAATCTAGATGTTAATTGATATTGGGGGGTGCATGGGTAAAGGCTTGGAAGGACAAGATTGAAACTTTCAAGGGTTATGAGCAAGCCTTAAATAGCCCATGGTAAAAGTGGCTGACGTTAAGTTGGGTTCCTAGGTGCTGGATAGGGGAGACGTGCCCAGCTATGCTGGATTTAATTATCCCGTAACGGCTGATATTACAGTTAAATTATCATAGTCCAATATGTATGTTCTTATTTTCTTTCAAAGGGTCTCATAAATTACTAACGTCGTAATGTATCTATCATACAGAAAAAATTTAGTATTCTGTACAGTCAACAAAGCGCAAGATTCGCAATTATTATGACTTTTAATAATGTAGTCATCTATTCTTAAGCGACCACTCTTCGACACCTTATAACGAGTTATAATATGCCCAGTTATAATACGTTGCTGTATAGTATTTGCCTAGTTGTTATGGGTAACTTGGTGATTTTTGTCTAATTCTGAGGTATGCATCTCAGCACTTGCTATAAGATGTCGGATTATAACGGCTCATGATCTCAAGCTGCACTTCCACCAGCAATAGCCGCTATATTCAACTTGTTCCATCGCTGGAACAATACAATACTTATAAAAGCAATCCCCGACGACGCAACGCTAATCGCAAACGCGGCTTTGAGACCCTGCATATATGCGACTAAAATCTCAGAAATTTGGTCCTCCGAAAACACTTTCCGCAAATTCGTCGCGCCGGTGCTCACCACAAGGGCAGGGCTGACACCTGGGGCTGTCTTTGGAAGATTGTTTATCATGATGTTGACAAAGGCAGCTTGGGCAGCCAACACCATACCTGCTCCGCCAAGTGTCTGGAGGAACAACAGCATGGTTGTAACTTCTGCAAGATCTATGGCCGGGCTATAGCTTGTACCGTAATGATGGGGATCTGGGACGCGATTCCCCAGCCAACACCGCCGATGATCTAATAGCCGATCCACTTGCCTTCCAAGGTACCAATATCCAATGTGTAAAGCAAACCTGTGCATATCGTCGACAGGGCAGTCCCAGCAACGATAATTGGTGCAGCGATACCAGTGGCAGAGACGTAAGCACCGCTACAGAGCATGGAGATGACAACTGCGACAATGAGTGGCAGATTTCTGACTCCACTTGACTGGGCACTCGCGTTATCGATGCTTTGGCCGTATATTGGTAGGTAATATAAAACCAAGTAGTACGCGCCAGAGTAGAAGAATGAATAGATAGACTCGACGATGTAAACTCTCTGCTTCGCAAGGCGGAACGAAAACATAGCCGTGTCTTTCTGGAACCATTCCCATAGAACAAATGCGCCCACGATTGCCGCACCCAACCAAGAGGCCGATCTCATGCGCGCAGAGTTCCAGGGAAAGTTGGCACCACCGTCCTATACCGCAAGGAGATAGCATACAACGAATGCGATCACGAGAGAGGCGCCTACGGGGTCCATATGGAGGAGCTTCTCGCGTAGGGTTGCCGCCTGTGGCTTTGCAGTGCTGGGCGCCTTGAAGGAGACCATGATGATGAAGGCGGGTATTGCTCCGATCGGCAAGTTGATATAGAAACACCAGCGCCACGACACCTTATCCGAGAATGCGCCTCCGATCAGAGGCCCAACAGCTGCCGCAACACCATAGCTCGTTCCAACGATCCCAGCGAACACCGGCCGGCTCTTTGGCGACGCAGAGAACCCGATGATGGTATACGAACCGGAGCCAATGCCTACAGCGCCCACGCCTACAAAAGCACGCGCGACGATGAGGGCAGTGCTGCTGGGCGCAACAGCACAGATCAAAGATCCGAGCTCAAAAATGAAGATGGCGATGAGGTAGCTGCTTTTCAGTGGGAAGTACTTATAGATCTTGCCTCAGGCGCTCCGAAAGCCACCCATTGTCATGAAGAAGGCGGAACTGTACCAGGCAATATCAGAGAGCCCGTTAAACTGGTCGGTGATTTTGGGAATTGCGGTTGCGACAATCGTCAGGTCAAGGGAGACGAGGAAAATGGCGAGTGCGAGCGCAGTTATGATGGCGGCCAGGCGAGCACCCGCGGGATAATCGGCACTCTCGGCACCTTGCGAAGTCAAAGTTTCTAGGCTGGAATCCATCTCTTTATCGCTGACTTTTTGGTCACCAGAGTCTTTCTTGTCCGTAGCATTTGTCATTGCCAGTGAAACATGCCTTTGCTTTGAGGCAACGTCGCCCTTTGAATCACGGGACGCCATGTGGATGGATGTATTGGCTGTGTAGATCTGGTAAATGCCGCCTAGTGAAGAGAGCTTCTCTATATTGATGAAGAATTGGAAGCAATAAGTCCAAGTAGAGATAGCAGAAAACGCAGATATTAACCGGATGAAAGCCAACAGCAAAGACTACCCTCCTAAGCTATGCTACCCGCAACCGTTGGCTGAGTGCGTCAATGTCTGACGAGGGCCACATACGATGCGGAGAGTATCTTTGTACTCGCAAATGACTTTATCAGCCATTCTTATCATGGTTTTCTCGGTTGGATCTATTTCGAACGCGTGGTTGATATCAGCCATTCACCGTATGGCTTCCCCCAGTCGGTGATATTTCCAGCATGTAGTATTTCCAGCGTGTGGCTGATATCAGCCAAAAAACCGTAACCCGTATGAGTCTCAGGCGGACAGGCTAACGGGCCGACAGGCTAACGGGCAGAGAGTGCGTGGCGCTCGGGAATATCCGATAAGCACTGCCGTTATTGTTCTCTCCCTTATGGAGGCACCAAGGGCTGAGAGAATAACGTAAGTCCATTCAAAAGAATCATTGATCACAAATTCCAAGTCACAGAGAGCTCAATTAAGCTCGTCTTAATGCACGAGCGGCAATTCGCGGAAAACTTGATGTTTTCCTTGGACTGGATGCTTTCCATATGCGGCCTGCTACCGTGACGATGGCATGCTCGTCGGCCGTCGCTCATAGCACACGAAGTAGAGTGGCTGACAAGTAATGACTAGCTAAGGTCTGCGAAACTAAGGCGTAGGTAGTAATAGCAGTTGTAGCAGTTGTACTTAAGTGAGATTGCAGATAATATCGGTTCTATCTCTAATTAAGTAAATGCCAGCATATTTGGTTAGGATTCGACCATTGGGTTCAAACCGAACAGATTGTAAATCTGTTCAGCATCATGATGCACTCATATTATATCATGTCTAGCTAGAATGGATCTTGCGGAAGCCATTATTTTGGAATTTCGATACCCGGGGCCCAATGGCAGAGTTTTACGCCGCAAGTGCTCCCATTAAATGGTGAGAATTCTCATACCAATATAGATCTGTGTTTTGACATCTTCTTTAAGCAAAGAATTGACTGTGCACACGTCTTAGAGCATCTTCACACTTTCAACAACTCCAGCATCTTCTTCAAAGGCATACTGTCCACATTTGACTTCAACTGTTCAACCGCGAATACGGAAGCACCTAAGCAGCTTGAATATACGGACGTATGATGATGAGTAATAACTGCCGACTTTGCAGCATATGACTAAACACATAAGCATGGTGTCAAGACTCATTTCAACGTGAGAGGGGTCCTCCGAATTCGCCGTCGATGGCAATGTTGTAGATGCTTCCTCTCTTGAACATGTTGCCCATGCGAGAAAGTCATCCATAGGTGTGACGATTGTTCAATGGAACCAATCTGGAGGAGCATTGGGAGAATTTGAAACCTATAAACGCAACGGCATGTAGAAATTGCTACTATTGCCACCTTGATCGCTGGAGTTTTGACGAAGTTGGTCTACTAACATGTCATGCTTAGAGTCGATACCGGCGCGCTCCCTTAGAAGCTCTGTAGAGAGGCATCGTGCCTTATATTCATTCTCGAGGGTACGCTCTCCAATGGAAATAATATAATTCAGTTCTGATGCGTCTCGTAAGTTGATTGTTAAAAGTTTGACGTATTTCTCCAGACAACCTCATGGATGCTCCAACCCGCCCTTGTTGACTCTATTATGTTGCTGTAAGCCAAGAGATGAGGCTAAAAGACGCCACCAAGACGCCAGCTCACTTCATTGAATCCAGCTAACTAATGCCCAAAGCGATACTCGCTTGAAGTGTTTGGTCTTCTGACACGCAGCTGCCGCTGGAAAACAACGACAAGGCGTCATTCGGTGTCGTTCCAGGGTTGTCTAGCTGACCTTGTTCAAACTGGCTGGAAAAGATTGCTTTCACTACTCTGCCGTCATCTTTACGGGCTTCACTAGTAACTGAAAAGGAGATATAGCGGAAACTAACTTCCGTTCGAAGATATTCACTATGGGCTGGTTGCCCGAGCATGAACCAATGACACACGTCGGCTCCTAACACACATCATATCTTCTGATGAACCCTGCGCGATTTGGGTTAGAATCTCTCCTCTTTGTAATGTCATTGTTATCAGAACTATCTGTTACATAATCTCAGCTGTATTACATCAATGAGTAGAAGGATCTTACACCTAAGATCGCTATGGGAATTACATCGCTGATGAGCAAAGTGTAGGATTAACATAAGTAATCTGGTGGAGTAAACTGTGTGTTCGCAATCTGGTCATATCAGCACATTGGAGATGATACGAGACCTTGGCCAAAAATGGCAAAATCTTCAAACGAAATAGGCAAAAGCTCGAGACTTCTTTGGCCAGGGGCCACATGATATGTACTACATACTGCTGCAGTTAAGTTGGAAGCCCTGACCAATCAGTGACCCAAGTCGGCTCCATAAGACCAGTAATTGGGGAGGTTTTGCAGATTAGCGCTTCCATGGCATCTCAAAATTAGCCTAAGTGTGTGTCAAAGGATCCATCAAAGGCGTACCGACCTACCACTCCATCTAGCCCTGCCTCATGAAAGAGTTTGCTGCCAACTAAAGTGTTTGATCCATAAATCCGAAGCCATACATCTGCAAGTTCTCACGCTAGTGTAGACTCCTCACAATCTTCAGAGATAGGAACACTACATCCATACCTTTCAGAAGCATCCGAACCTGATTTTCACGAGAATGGGCCTAGGGGGTTTATGAACAATACGCGCAAAGTACTGATACACCCTCGATGTGCTGCCTCATTGACTATAATTGCAATGGGCAAGAATGAAATAGCATCAAATAGCTGTGGTGAATGAATCGGGTTTCCAATTTTCCCAGAACTCCGCCCCTTATCAGTTCAGCAGTATGCAATTTTCCATTAGGGGCGTGCCGGCTCTTTTTAGCATATGTTTCGCTGGGGCGTGCCTGGTCACTAGGTTGATGCTACTCAAACAGCGCGGGACGGAATCAGACGGCATCTTTGGCTCGGAGCGTTGCTAGCTAGAGTTAATTAGATACGACTACATGGACTCGGTACGCAGCAGGGCAACACACCAAAGAAGCTAAGAACTGAGAAAGAAGGGCCACGTGTGCCGCTGTAGTACCAAAAGTATATCAGAAAGGAACAGAACAGTGTAGCTTCGTAGCAATGTATGAGGAGGCATTAGGACCATATCGCGGTTTAAGTCTATCTATCTATTTTCCTCCAAATGCGTTGTAAGGCACGGAGAACAAATCATACGAATATCGTGACAAAATCTTGCTTGGTAATGTCGATAAGCAGCTAAAAGGCTTCTACTAACGGTGTGCAATCGATTGCTCAAGTTTATTCTTGTGTTTCGAAACCGAGTTTTTTTTGGCGAGATCATCCAATTCTTTCTGATTGTTAAAAGGCGCATGCAATGGTTGTCTATCGCTGAGCTTGGCATTGATGTTTTCCCATACCTGATGAAGATCAGGGCGGTCCTTTGCCCCTCCTAAATTCATCAATAATAGTTCTCATCAGTAACCAGCAAATAATATGCAACACGTCACAAGCAATCATACCTCAGAAGGGACGATGGCCCAGTTTTCCAAGATATTTCCATCTTTCATTATTACCAAAATTGCAGGCTGGGCCAGACCATGTGGATATCCTTCCCACTCAGTGATTGCTACAGTAATCATACCATTGGTTGCCAAGTGCTTAGCTAGGGTGTTATTCGGACCGTTGATTGCCTCTCCGGTATACGCACTAGAAGATCGGACTTCAGCAAGGTGCTCCCCATCCTGTGCAGACACAATCACGGGGCAGCCCCCAGCCGCGTTGATAGTCGGGCTGAGGTGTTGGAGAACGCGCAGGTATGCCATGCAGAACGGGCACCAGTGGCCGCGATAATCTTCCAACATGGTTGATAGTTTCAGTCTGGGTACACACAAATATTCAACCGCATAGAGTACTGGGTACCTACAGATTACGAACAGAAAGTCATATTTCTGCCTCAGAGCCTCGAATTTGGAAGTAGCGTTAACTGACATGTTGATCTTTTAGTATTTATTACGGACGTCTAGCGGTGGCTTCTGTTGTAACAGGATAATTGAGCCCCTTATGATATGTAGCATGAAACCCGATTCAATTCGAACCGATCAAATTATATATACATAAGTTCTCCCACCTTGGAGACGGGGATTCAAGGATTTTACGTCCATGTCAATGATTCGAATGGTATAAAGGGGGGTCACTAACCGCGGCAGTACCACAATAGGAAGTATCTAAGACCTCCCAATGAAGTAGAATCTACATGCAGTGATGCCCACCGGAATTAGTCATTCGTTTGTTTGCTTTTATAAGTCACCACTCCACAGCTTGAACTTGATGTACCCAGCGTTTACGGAAGTAAGTATATTCATAAAGTTCATATTGCCATTTTATAGTAATGAACCAGCGTCGTGAAAAGAGCAGTATACGGAATTGGAAGTCTATTTAGCCCCAGTCCATGTCATAGTTTGATGAAGACCGTGGCATTGCTTAGCTTTGTTACAAATAAGAACCAAGGAGCTTACATGTGCACGTAAATGCTAAGATAGAGTAAATATGAGTACACCGTCTTAACCAATAATAGCATGACTTGTGTTTATGACTTGACTGGTTGACGTATTGCATCGCACGCCGTTTCCCTACGAGAATGACGCTTACAGTTGTTATAATTCTATCCAAAACAATGATAATATCCATTTCCAGAAAACAGAGCAAATATATATGCCTACTTCTCTACCGTCTTTGGATAGTTTTAGATCCCTTGCTGGTAATAAAACGTAAAGCTTGACATAGAGGTTTACACCTTACTTGTGTTATGATTATCGCGACTTAAAGCTATGTCCAGGCCCCTTTGCAAACATAGACCGGTTTCATTGGGGCATATTACTTCGGGGGACTAACTACCCCATGGGGCATCGGGAACAGGGCGTCGCACACTCCCATCCGATTTCACGTCAGTACTCAATGCTGCACTGTGGGTCTTTCTACATTATTCGCACTCGGTAATTAATACTTTTCCCCGCAACTAATAATTATGACTCCGGGGATCACGACCTTCCCCGCACTTATTATTACACCTTCGATAAGTAAATTATTACGAATTGTATTACAAACAACTCCCTAAGAGTCTTTATATGGTTATTTGCATATAGTACACTCATCGCTACGTAATAAACCATAATTACGACACAAATGTGAATGTTCCAACATATCTTACCTTAACATTCTTTTTCCTTGGCTCTCTTATTACGATTGTTACACTTTAGGATCTCGCGGATACACAGCCGTCTTGCACACCCTCAATTGATTGGTCCCACCAGGTTTCTAACATTTCAGAGCCCAAGTACGATACGACGTGTCTTATTCAGAAATCCACCGTGTTCTAGCAATATGCAACCTCCTTCGAAGCCACGTCCCCATACAAGAGTCCCAGAAGACCGTAAGCGAGGCCAATATATCTCAACGGCGTGTGCAGCGTGCCGCAAAGCCAAAGTTCGTTGTGACGGAAGAACTCCCTGTTGCAACTGCGAGAAACGTTCCACTCAATGCCATTATCCTCCTACCAGGTCCCGAATATGTAATGCGGGCAGGAGAGGAGGAAAGAGTCATTATGGCCGCAATATATCGTATGGCGGCCGACAAGCTTAAAAGGACACTGAAGACCAGCTAATACATGATAGACCATATAGAAATGGCCTTGCATTGTCTTTGCAGCGACAGGAGGCAACCGCACCGCTGGAAGAACAATCGGGTCTGATTAATTCACAAATAACGACTCGGACGGACCGGCACTCTCGTGGAGACTACTTTCCGCGTCTTCGAGGCCTCTCTGTGGAAGCTGAAAGAATTTCTGATGGAGGCAGACTTGGATCCGCATTTTTATCGTTACCCTTGCCAAGCTTTTGCGGACCAAGCAGCTCTAGCTTTGGCTTCAGCATGGCAGAGTTTATTCTGCAACATCTAATGGAAGATACAGTCTACACCGACAACGATGGCAGATCTGCATTGGCCAATATCCAAGTCTCTAGTGATGAGACGTCTTGTCTCAACTCTGAGCAGGCAGCCCGCTTTCCAACGAACTTCGATTTATGCCAAACCATGGAGCTCGAGGAAGCCATTCGTCTTCTTGGCGTGTATCATGAAGTTTTTGGCGTCTTGCATCCGTTTTTAGACATGGCAACGCTGCGCCGGCAAGCCAACATATTGTGGGGAGCACTTCCGCCCATTCCATCTGGTCAGCCAACCCGGTGTCCACCAAGTCAGGATAATCACGTAGTAAAACTGGCTATTGCAATCGCGTTACTTTGCGAGAGCGGAGGTTATCACCCCACCGCCACTGCGATATATCAAAGCATGCAAGCCATAGTCGTCCAGAGTGTTTTAGGGCTGTCGTTCGAACTGGGACGGCTGGTGTTGTTGGTTCTCATTGTATGGACTAAATATTCCATCATGTCTTAAAGGGCACTGCTAAACGTCACAGGGGGTTTATCACTGGTACCAGGGAGATTACCGACTAAGCTCCAGATTTTTAGCCGTCGCAGTTCGACTAATACTCGAAACTGGGATGCAGAAAAAACAAATATTGCTGCGACACTTTCCTCTGAAATCCGAAAGAGAAATGGCCACTTTACTGGTTTATACATCTATTGTATTAGATCACCAGATGAGCTTTGCTGCGGGCCTACCCACCACTTTCAGAGACGCGAATATCGAAATACCTGATGTCGTGCGTACCAGATAACTTTTCGTACTATGAGCGCTTTCGACGAGACTTTGCTAACATCTGGGAAAATAGTCTGGTAGTCCATATCTCAGGGCAATGACATCGTATGTTGCCTTTGGATCACGTCACTGGAACTCGGTGGTTGACAGCCTCGGAGAGATCAAGGCCACTTTTGATGATGAAGCATTTGATCGGTTAGATGACGAAGTCAATCGATGGCCAAAGACGTTTTGTTTCGATTTGGAGCCTGAAAATCTTGAAGCCCGATTGCTCCAATTTGTCTCTGGTGAAGTTCCGGACAAAGCTCGCGCTCCATTGGTTGCAAGCACCATACTCTATCTTCGAGCCAACCAGATCCGCATTCTCGTCATGCGACCCATTCTCTTCTCGCTGCGTAGTATTCTCAATCATAGCCATCGTGTGGCTAGCTTGATAGAGATCGCGCAAGATACTATTCACAAACTGGTCCAGCTCGATCGGTGCAGTGACTTATACAGAAAGCACCAAGTGATATTGAATCACTTTCTTTCCTCGGCGACATCAGTCTTCTTTCTTGCCTTGGCACAGCGTGGTAGGCTAGAAAAGCAGGGATTAGACAGCACCCTGTCGACGTCGCTCTCGCAAAGCTCACTGAGAGAAACCTTATTCAGAGCTTTTGATCTTATTCGGTCATACAGCTCCATGTCTCCCGCATCACAGCGCCTTTGGAACAGCTTCTCAGTTCCCAGAAGCCTCTTGATTACGTACGGATTACTGAAACGGCCCGGCAGCCATGATGGCGAGAACAACGTACTTGACGACATACATTCTTCAAGTCTCTCGCATATCTCGGTGGATCCAGAACTTGCTGGAGAAGCTTGCGTTGCAGATCAAGAAAGTGTCTTGCAACCGGAACCCCCTGCAGCAAACTCTACTATAGACCACCTCATCAATGCACCGCAGGAGGAATTTTGCGTTTCTGACTTTCTAATAGACTCAAGATACGAAGCCTCACTAAATATTGACGGAGGGTTGTTTTACGCAGAGGACAATACAGAGGATCTCTTGAATAATATGTTTTAGTAGTCACAATAATAAGCAAAACCATAACATTCTTCAAATAATATTCTACACTGCAACTCCGATAAATACCTAAGGTTATGGTGAACATCCGACAAGCGTGTTCAGGGATCCCCCTTGAGATCATCAATTGTTCCCGGCGATTCGATAGCTGACTCTATGTTGGTGAGCGATCAAGAGGATTGCCTATACACAACTCATCCTTCAAAGAGTTTGTGGCTATGTTCTGCAGCATCAGCAAGAGGATCAAACCCCAGTAATGCTTGCTGATATTCCGCATCTCCCCAATTCCATTTACATTGGGATTCCCAACGCAAATCAGGCAATTCTGAAAGCAGTTTGTCTCTCTCCAGCTGCTCAGAGCCATCAGGGAGGTGATAGAATACCCGCGCCTGAACTGCGCCTAGGACGTTCACCGTAGTCCTCTGCTTCCTTAATCTCTCATACAGCTTCAGAGTTGCGGTGATAGCATCCTTGCGGCTTTCCTCAGAAAAAAACGCAGGGTTGCTTTGGAGACGGCCAAGAAGAAAACCAATCACTGCACCATCTTCAACGGCCATTGCCGCTCCCTGTGCTTGGTACGGTAGGGTAGGATGTGATGCATCTCCCAACAGAGCAACGGAATCCTATATATGTGTGTCAGTGTTATCTGGATTTGCAACAAAGAAGGGCTTATGTTAACCTTGACCCAGGTTTCGAGTTCGCTATGATGGCATAGCTTCCACTTTAAAGCGGTGCTTAAGCACGAAATCAGGGTTCGCAAGCTGCGATATGGCTGTTAGCTTGAACATTTTAATATGATTTCTCTCGGATAAACAATTACGTTGGATCCCATCCTTCAAAATCGTCTTTCATTTCATCTAAATTTCCATGAAAGGTGCGAACATTGCGGGGTAGATTATCCGGCCGGCTTGGAATCGTCAGTTATTAAAGGAGACTGCAAGTATACCGCCTTTGCTTACATCAAGACGAGATTAAACTCGGTTCCATCCCGAACCGGGTAAAAAACAACATGTTTTTCTGGCCCAAGCCAAACTTGAATATTAGAATCATCAAGTAGTTTATTTACTTTTTCGTCGTTCAATTGCCTCAGCTGATTGCGGGTAAATGTGCCCCGATATGCTAGATCTCCCGTTTCTATAGGTGGTGAGGGACGGCCGAGGACGTGTTCTCGCATAACAGACCAAAGCCCTGTGATATACTTAGTTCTGGAATTAAAATCCGATTTGGACACTCATACCATCTGCTCCAATGACTGCGTCACCGTATACTCGTTGTCCATCTTTCAAGACCAGGCAGAATTTTTCCTGGTTTCTCTTTTCTTCTTCTACCTCGTACCCCGAGTTCATACCAACAACTTCAGCGCCGGTCTGTATGTCTGCACCTAGGTTTTTAGCTTGTTCGAGGAGCATTTTCTGGTAGTCGGCCCTATGTATCACCCTGTTCGCGCTCAAAGTGTATGATCAATATGCAAACTCCGGCCAGCATAGGAAACGTGTAATCGAAATAATCGGATACGGCATTACTCACATCCATTCTGCTCCGTAAATTTGCTTCGCTCGTGCCCCCAGTGGCTTATTGACAATCACCTCACCGGTCGAGTATCGCCTCAAAGTGTGGTTTTGCATGACAACTGCCCCTGCTTCTTTCAACTTTTCAAGCAGACCATACTGTTCCATGATTCTGGTTGCATTTGGAGGCAGCTGAATCCCAGCCCCAATTGGCTGAAACTCCGAAGAACGTTCCAAGATAGTGACTTTGAGTGGTGGATCACATTTTCGGCATGCGATAGCACATGATAGTCCGCCGAGGCCGGCACCCGCAATAATAATGTGCATAACTCGTTGCGGGAGCTGCAAGAATTAGCAGTGAAGGGTCTCTAAGTCTCAATAAACATACTGGAGCTGTGGTGGTACTCTCCATCGAGACGAAGGAATGTTATACACACCTTTACTTCGATGTAGGAAATTGCTGAACAATGGATGTCTTATTGAGCAAACAGTTTGGGACCTCAACCAGCACCCTTCCAATTCTTTTAAAAGTTTTTTCTACTCACCAAATATTACCCACTGAGTTCCGACGCCCTCAAATTATTTATCAATAAATCCGGCGTATACATACCCAGTAAGGAGCGCCTTTGCATCAGTACCTCGGCAGCTGCATTGATATCAGTATAGTGGTATGCATTTAGACATTCCGCGTAAGTAAGTGGGGCGCGTGGTGACAAATTCCGTGAATACATTCCGTGAGTATGAGTAAATTCCGAGAGCTGAATTCCGTGAGTGGAGTCTATGCAGTAAGACGCAGCAGCTCGAAGGTGCTTTTCACGGCCCGAAATGAAGATCCTTGTGCTGTGGAATCAAAATTTCCCCTCAAGTACTAGTCCAATCATCAAATGATCAGCATATCCAAAGCCATGCTCTTGACAGGGAAGCCAAGTGCCGATTAAAAACCGCCCATTTGCCGAACAGCACAAATGTTTGCACGGATTTGGTTGACATTATAGGTGAGGAAAGTAGGGTTAAACGTCCCGTAAACCTAAATATACTCTATAACGTAAATTGGTGACACTTTGTGCAAAGATTGTGAATGAAGAATCGACAACTGCAAAAAGAAATTGTGACTAAAGAGTGACGTTTGAATTTATGGACGGACTGTAGAACCATGTAGGTAAGTATACGTAGAGCGATATCTTGTGGGAATAATAGAAGATAAGTGAGGCGCAAGAATCCTTTTGCTTTTGGAAACTGAGAATATCTACACAAGCTCTAGTTGCACAATTCTTTCCCTAGCAGAATGCTCGGAATTCACTAATTCACTTCAACACTTCAAATTTCCAGAATTCGGGTCCCGGAATACATAATGCCGGAATTAACATGAATATCGAGAGACTTTGGACCACTTTTCCCTTTGGCTGCTTTGCTGCCATCGTGGGATTAACAATGTCGACTTTGCGGTGCATTCATCTCTAACACACACATATATATTTACATTTGTCTCTGCCTAGAACGAGTCTTCATACTTATATCAGTCATTCTCAGTGCGATACCTAGTCAGAGGTCATTCTATTTCCATTATCTTCCATTACGATGTCTCTATGGTTGGCTGATGGTATATTTGGGTGGTGTGCGGTGGTATTGTGTCTACTTTGGCTTATTCCAACCTACATCATATATCAAAGATACTTTCACCCATTGGCAAGGTTCCCCGGGGAATTTGCCGCCAGCATTACAGACTTTACCAAAGCTTCTTATTTTTGGTCGTTGAGCATAGACAAAAAGATCCTCACCTTGCATGAGAAATACGGCCCCGTGGTGCGCATTGCGCCCAATGAGCTCAGCTTTTGGGATCCAGAAGCTCTATCGGCCATTTTTAAGTCTGGCGGACGAGCTATGACGAAAAGTTCATTTTTCGATGGTTTTACAACTTTCGACCCCAATTTATTCGGTAACCGTAATGAAGACGTATGTCCAAGCCGCGTGTGCTTCTTTATCTAGCCGAAGTTCTAACATTTGCAACTAGATTCACTCGCTGCGCCGGCGACAGATGGCACATAGTTTCTCAACGGCTTCCCTTATAAGTATGGAAGAGATTTTTGACCGACATGTTATACAAATGAGGCATAAACTAGACCGCTACGCCAAGTCGGGAGAAAAGCTTGATCTCAAAAAGATCATAGCCTTCTACGCCTACGATGTACTAGGCGAGCTTGCTTTTGATACTCAATTCGAATCACAGGCTAAGGACGACGAGGCAAATCTCCCCCCAATAAACGACCATATTTTTCTTGGCTGCCTGTACGGCTCGCTACCCTCCTTGCTTCCTTACTCTATGAAATTCTCCAGCTTTCTTCCGATCCCCTGGTTGCAGAGCCTTAATCGGAGCCGACAAAGCATTCGCGACACGGTGGCGAGCTGCGTGTCGACTATGTTTGGGGGAACATTAGAAAATGATGAGAAAAATTCGAACACTCTCTTGTCCCAGCTCATGAAAGCCAAAGATCCTGAGACAGGAAAGAAGCTTACAATAACTGAGATCTCTTCTGAAGCATTCGGCTTTCTCGTTGCAGGTTCCCACACCACTTCAGGTACCTTGACACTCTTGTTTTATCATCTGCTTCACGATTCAGAGATATACTCTCAAGTTGTAGAGGAGATGAGACGAGAACTCCCCCTTCTTGAGCAAGGTTCATATCCTTACACAGGATTGGAAGCCAAACTACCCTATACGACAGCCTGTATGCGAGAGAATTTTCGGCACACGCCTGTATTTACTATGCCGCTTACGCGACAGGTAATGTCTCAGGGCGGGGCAGTAATCGCAGGCATAAAAGTCCCAGTAGGTGTAAGTATCAAGATTCCATCATCATCCAAATTTGAACTGACACAAAGGGAATTAGACAAATGTATCAATCACCAACCACGCTCTGCATCATAATCCCAACATTTGGGGACCAGATTGCTATGAATACAAACCATCCCGATGGCTTAGGGAGGGATACGCAAAAGAAAACCTCAAGTACCTAATGCCTTTCGGCGCCGGCCATCGGATGTGTATAGGTCGAAATATTGCAATGACGAATATGTTGAAAGTGGTTAGTATTGTATTAAGGAACTATGAGTTGGAGGCGGTGGATAAAGATGAACCCCTGAAAATTGTAACAGTTGGACTGGGAGAGAAGGAAGGCCCTTTGTGGTGTCGCATCAAGAGAGTGAGCTGTTGAGACTAAAATTTATCACCCGTTGCTCTGTTGGCTCAGCTGTAATACGGATTGCTACAACGTGAAATCGAGAATCGGCCTTTATTTCTAAAATCCTAAATTAAGCTCTCAAAAGATTCATTGCATTGTCTCTGTATATCGCCTTTTGGGAACAAAGGTCCTTGAACACTTGAGGCAACTCTTGGTTCATATTCTCGGCTACACCCAAAACCCCAGATTCAGGAGTGTAGGGGTAATCGCTGCCGTAAAGGATACGACTTGCGTTAACATATGGCAGCAGACCGTGAATTTGGTCCGGAAATACGAAGCCCGCGAGGTCGAAGAAAAATTGCGTCTGGAACGCTTTTCTGACAGACTCGGTGCTTATCTGGATGGGAAGTCCCAATATCGATGTGGCAAATTGAGTGAAGCGAGCCACGAGCGGCGTGATAGCACCGCCGGCATGGGATAGAATGATTGTGACATTGGGCGACCTGTCAATGGTTCCTGAGACAAACATATCTACGACGGTCCGTGCGGTATCAAAGAAGAACTCGAATATTGGGTTTGGGTACCGAGTCAAGGGAGCGACTGGCTGGCTCACGCCGCCGTGCTGGATGCAGGGGCTGGTTGGGTGAATGAAGATGGTGGCGTTCCTCTTATTCAAAGCTTCAAAGATCGGTTTGAGGACAGTGTTGCCAAGGTACACTCCGTGGGCATTGGTTAAAATGGTCACGCCGTCTGCGTTCAGCACGTTGAGTGCGTAGTCTATTTCAACAAGGCTACCGTCGACGTCGGGAAGAGGTAGCGATGCCCAAAAGCCAAACTTGTCCGGATGCCGACGTTTGAGATCGGCTGCGAATTCGTTGCACTGCCTTGCGATATTGCGTGCTAGAGCGTCATCTCCAGGAACAAGGTGCGTACCTGGAGAAGTAATGCTAAGGATGGACTTTGTAATGTTTGCCTTGCGCATCATCTCCAAATGTGCCTCCTCACTCCAACTCTTTTCCATCTGTCAGTAGCTGATACGATGCTGAGCAGAATCTGTTGTGCTCACCGGAATCCCAGGCATACCATCAGGCTTACTGTATCCATATTTTACAGATGCGTCCCTCCAAAATGGAGGCACGAAGTGAGAGTGTGTGTCGATGCGTTCAAAGGGGTTCTTGTCCACATGTGAGGCAACCACTGCCCAGACTGTAGTGAGTTGCCACGAAAAGACGCTGATGGCGACTGATAAGATCATAACGAAGACTGCTGCTGCGGATTGTAACTAATTTGCTCGGCGGTGCATTTTTTTTTTTTTTTAAAGACAGCTTTACTTGGCTTCGCTGGTAGCATGATGCTGATTTTAACCAACCCGAAGCTGAGGGTTGGTTGCGGGGAGCTGCTATCCTTCTTGTTTTTGGTAGAGATGTCGTGGGAACTGAGCGGAAGGGTGGTGGGGACTCTGCAGTAGAGGCACTTGAGCGACGAAGAAACTTGTATGTAATTGGATTGCTAAAGAAGAATGAAGAGTACGAAGGGGCCGTTTGCCGTTTGGCATCAACTTGCTGCTGTGCATCAACTTGCTGCTGTGCATCGGCTTGCTGTTGTGTATCGGCTTGTTGCTGTGTCTGAGGGGCCGCTCGTCCATGATGTCCGCTTCCCCACGAACCCCACAAACAGCACATTACGTGGAATCCGCTGTGAGAGGCGGGGATTGTTGTTCTGACCCGTTGGTCCCACCCTTCGTGATAACCGAAGCTTCTAAAAGTTTGTCACGAAGGATGGAACCAACGGGTAAGTTGAGTAGTTGGATCATCTTAGATATGGTAGAAGAGTGTATAATGTGTATGGTGTGGATTTAAACAAAAAGGGTCGAGTTGGTTCTTGCGGTACAAGTTGTACATGTTCATATGAGAATGGTCAGACTTCGTGCTGTGGCCGTCCCGGGAGGCCTGGTGCAACATGCTCGAAGTGGCCGTATTTAAACAAGAGTCAGTGTGAATGGGGGATTATTTCAAGATTCCTACAACCACAGCTGGAGCCTTGGAGATCCTCGGAATTCTCTTTGTGGGACCACACATCGGGAGCCTGCGCTGGAACCCCCCCCTCACGTTGAATCGAGCTTTTTAAAAGGCTACAGCCTTCGGACTAAATCGTTACAGCGCTGTGATTTGCGGACGAGGGTGAATATTGGCTCTCAGTGAATGTATGGACAACGGCCAAAGACCCAACAGAAAAAAGGGCAGTGATGATGTGGATATACGGGGGAGGCTTCGAATCTGGAGCCTCTAGCAGGCTATTATATAATGGAACTAAGCTCGCCCTGAATGGTGTAGTTCTGATTAGCTTTAAATATTGCCTGGGCGTTCTCGGGTTTCTGGGACTATCAGAACTTCATGGTGAAGGTAGTGGCTCTATCAACTTTGGCCCTCAGGACCAACTAGCCACCCTTCGTTGCATCCGAGATAATATTTCTCACTTTGGAGGAGACCCTGGGAAGGTGACAATATTTCGAGAATCTGCGGGCGCACATTCGGTCGATTTGCTGTTGGCATCGCCTCTGTCAACTGGGCTATTTCAAAAGGGTGTTCTTGAAAGTGGTGCGTATTGGGAAAGCGATCACGGATCCCATGAAACGTTCTCTGAAGCTCGCCAGTGAGGCTTGGCCCTGGGGCGGAGACTTAATGAATCATCCATCGTAGAGTTGCGACCTCTCCCTGCAGAAAAAGTGAACAATCCGGCGTTATGGGACATGAGGACTGACCCCGGGGCCACCGTCCTTGCGCCTAGCATCAATCATTACGTTGTTCCTACAGCACCAAGTGTCGTGCTTGGCCATGGAGATGAACACCGAGTGCCTATCCTGGCTGGCTTCAATACCCGGGAAGAGGACTCTGTCCCTTCACATTCCCCGCCTTGCCAGGCATCTAAAGACTACATGTCGTCTGCAGGAACGTTTTTGGGGAACAGAAGAAATGAGGCACTACGACTACATACTGGATCACCCTATGTCCAAGCCGATGACTCTGCGAACTCTCTTGCTGGCGATCTGGTTATCCGGCAGCAAACTTGGGAATCACCTAATGGGCATGTGTTAGTGGTGCGCGAGAAAGGATATGGCTACTTGTTAACATTCAGTTCCCCTTACTCGCCGTTGGCTATGCATACCGTGGAAATGAATAATGTCCTTGGTAATATGGGTCGGAACGAAATTTTCATCTATATTCCTCCTCTTTCCATCGCTGCCTCTGGAGACATGAAGATATCGGAGACGATACGATCCTATGGGACCAATTTCGCCAGAAGTTTAACTGGAATTTGAGGGCAAATAGCATCTTGCCTTTAAGCTGGCGTAAATGGGTAATAGATATCTAGATATCATGACTGGAGTCACTGGACTGTTATAGTTGCTATAATAATCCTATGGGGTAGGGTACACCAGATTGACTATGGTCTGATCAGTCCAATAGTATCTAACTCATGTATTAACTTGGACAATCCAAACAGAAAAAAACGTATATTATCATAGCTAATAAGTGACATATACCCTGAGCTAACTCACTAGATAACCTTTATCTCTGGTACATACTGGAGTTGCTCAAATGACTTGTTGCTGATAAAACAGCTATGTCGATATCATATTCCCCCCCCCCTATTTCACTAAATCAGCTGCTGTTTGTAAGCAGAGCCAGTTGAGCAATACCTATATAGCTTCCTACTCAATCGCAGAGGCATGCAAACTAGCATGCACTGACAACAGCATAATCACTACCTGGAGATTGAAAACCCCTTCCTGGAGGCTTCATAGACGAGAATCCAGTGGGCTCAAGTCTATCTTGCTAGGTCCACTGTGATGTGTGAACTGTGGAAGTATTCTGCCAGCCTGGGCCTTTGTATCTATGGAAGAATACTGGGCTCCCAACCGCGTTCAGAACGCTCAAAGGCCACCATTCAAGCATGCCACAAGAATTATATTTGCAATGCTGGTTCGGCCGTTTCAATATGTCTGTCTCGGAGCGAGGTTCGATTACATTAATGGCTCTCATAGAATACATTCCCATCCAAAATCTACCTCCAATTTTCATTTTGAAGGACTCTGTCCTGCATAATGTCTGAAGAGGCGACCTAGCCGCTAAACAGTAGGTAGGCTCTGGGATGCCACACGGCTGAGGCGCCTCGTCTCAGAGATTCCTGACTGTTGAATCTGCAAGGTCGTCAATCAGGGCCTCTAAGATCGAAGAAAATCGGCGGGATAGTTCCCAGTGCCCTTGGCGACGGAGAAGGTCAGTAACGTTGTACAATGTGCTCGGGTCGAATTGGCGAAGGCTAGCTGTGGTTGGCTCTGCCGAAGTTGGCACCGATACGCGTCCAAGGTCGCTTGTACGCAGCTCGGGAATATCTATATCACCATGGGGAGCTTCATCTGGTCGAAACTTGGCATAGCAGTATACGACCAGTCCTGCATAAAACAGCGCCTTTGGGACATGGATAGCCGGCTCCGCAATGATAGGCAGCGTCTGCAGACGCTTGTAGATGAGCATGGCGTGAATGACACACCGCTGCCCCTCCACCCTTGTCACCCAATCGCGGATGCGTGCGAGATCTCCGTCCCTCATCGACGACCCCTCGCGCCCTATCACGCGTTCTAGTAGATCAAAACAGACGTATAGCGACATGAATGTCTCATGCCAGAGCACCATGAGGCAGTGGGGGTCACGACTCGGATAGCGGATACTTGGAAAGTAGGCTTCGTACCAAGTTGTCAGACGGCAATGGAAGTCTCCGATCATTGCTTCGTTTAGAGTTGCACACCGTGCTTCCTGGATTGCGGCGTTGTGGCCGGAAAGTAGCACATAAGCGTTCATGAATGAGTAGGGGCTTGGGGTCGTAGCCATACCCGCAGAGGAAGTATGATGCTGCGACTCGGTTGAAGGTGAGGAAGAGTGTAGCGACTTGATCATCGTTTGCCACTGAGCAGCTGTGGAGGCGGTGAATAGCTCATCCGTGCAGCAGCGCGGTAGCCTTCCTGGCTCATGTCGTAACAATGGTTCGTGGTGAAAAATAGTCGCGAATTCAGAGTCATGAATGTGTAGCGCCGCTAGCACACGAACAGTCTCCTCTGTTTGAGACCATGATCTCCATGTCGTTTCTAAATCATTAGGATCGAGATGATTGGTTTCTTGCAGGGAATCTTTAATTTGGAACATCCCAGCTTGCCGGGCCCATGCAATGATGGTGCCATGGAAGCTTTCAGTCAATAGTAAATCGTTCGGTTTACCAGAGAGCATTCCAAATGTTTGACCCAGAGCAACAGCTTGTGCCACAGCCAGTGCTTCGCGCCCACCTCGGTAGATATAGACTTCCCACTGGTATAGTTAGAACAAGCGAGGAAGAAAAGTCATAGAGACACACCGATGCTAGAATCGCTTTGTTCAATTTCATAAAAATTCCCCTACCACGAGCAGAAGCGCCAGCTGATCCGACGAAGAGGGCTCCTATAGAGCAGATGGATAAGAGTAGAAGGGCATTCTCTGAAGAAGGTCGAAACGAAGTGGCGTGAACGATGGGGAATATGGGCTGAAATTTTGCAAAGTAGAGCTTGATACATATATTCTGTAACACTGTTAGCCCGATTCATTATGGACAAAGTTTAGATATGTCACGCGTATCATGCCAAAGCATACCAGGAAGTCGGAAGAAGGCAGAACATCATCGTGAAGACATGGCCGAAGCCGGCTTGAAAGGCCAGCACGATATGCTTCATCTACACGATCAGGACCTTCCGGTCTCTTGAGCGCATATGGATGCGCCGATTCGATGACTGGCCTCGTATGCCATCGGTTTCGGACTAGGGTCCGGATGTTGTTGTTGTTGTCGGCAATTGACTCGTCCGTGTGGCTGTCTCCATTAAAACGATCATTTAGCTGGCTTTGAGTGAGACTAGTAGAAATATCGCCATATAACCATGGCGAACCGGTTGCCGAGATGGAGGAAGTTAGAGCATTAATGTCAAAACTTCTCCCAACTAGCCAAGACGGGTCATAAGTATTGCCTCCAAAATCGAACATCTCCATATCTGACCAACTTCCCCAAACATTGGAGGCCTGATCAACACCAAGGGAAGTGGTGTCCGCTCGTGTAGAGGAGTTCAGGAGAGAAGAAAGATAAGATGTAGGCTCAATATCTGCCCCGGATGCGGCCCAATGATTAGGCGGGTGAATATTTTCGGCCGCCAAGCCAATTGAATCGGTAAAGCATGCTGATTCATCTGGGGGATTATTCGCAGACGACACGTCGTCTTGAATATCAGACCGCCGAAAGAGTGACGAATGGCTAGGTACGGCATCTTCACCTGTGCCTCTTATCAGAAGACAGCTACTTGAAAGGAATAGCGGCGCCAGTCTCTTTTGGACAAACCTGTAGGCGATGGCATCAGCGGCCCTGTGATCAAAATGGTGCTGCTTCCCACGCGGTCATGTGTTCGCGCGTGTCGGATCAGGGAGTCACTACAAATGGATGTCAGTTGTGAGAGGCCATTCGAAAAGCAGCAGTGAGCGAAGCGCCTACCGGCGCCCATAGCTTTTAGAGCAAATGTCGCAGGCAAACGGCCTCTCCTTCGTATGAGATCGGATATGCCGGACCATGTGCTCTCTTTTCTTGAAGGCCTGGCCACAATGCGTGCACTTCCATCCCCTGCATTGCCGATTCCGTAGCTTGCGTTGGGGTTCGGCCTCATGGTAACTTGCATTCTGGTCTTCAACACCCGCGGCTACGCTGTCTGCCGGCATCGTGGGAATAGAATCTGGGGTCTGGGGTTGTGGGGAATCGCCTGTGTGTGGAAGGCTAGGACGGAGAATGCGTGTGGGAAATGCATCTCCGCATTCCATGAGATTGTACGGCGATTTGTAGATTCCAGAACCAAAAGTTCGGGCTTGCGCTAACGAAGGCCCTAGCCAAAAGTCCGATTAGACCTGAACCAAAGGAACTGCGGAGTCGTGCATGTTCCCTCGACTTGTAGCGAGGGCTCCAATTGGCGCGTCCCTTTTCATAACATTTCCATAGCAGTGTGGGCATCTGTAGGCATTCATCCATCTACCTCCTTCTATGGATACAATGGAGTTCATAGCATAGTATCGATTTACACATCTTTTATATGCTGCGCTACTCCAGGCAAGCAAGGGCTGTTTACTGGGTTTGCATCCAACTGACACATAGTCTACGTTTACATGTAGTCCATCTTCGCAGTCATAGCCTTCTAGGAAGTGTCTAAATCCCGGCTATTAAAGAGCCAGCCAATAGGAGTGTGAATTATAAACAGGCAGTCAATTGAGATGGCCTACTACTGCCCATAGTTGTCTCTTGAATACTACAAACTCAAATACCTGGACAGACTAAAATGAATGCACTTTCGAATTCTGCGTGCTGCGCCTGCAGCTCTTGCCGCAGAAGATCAATGCGATCATGCCCACCATTGTGAAACCAGCAGTCATCGTCATAAGAAGCATGACTGGTGGTACAAAGCCGTCTGCGGTAGCCCAGTCATTCACAAAATATGTCATCCCAAACTGTGAGTAGTGTCGTAAGCACAATATGCCCATAGGTAGGTTGTAAGATAATGTATAGAAAGAAAATCCGCTTACTCCAAAAGTGTTCTTGCAAACAGTTGCAATAGCCATAATCTCGCCTGATATCGGCCTATAGCAATCAATGGCGTATGTAATGGTGATGGTAGGAATCGCGACGACCTGGACACCTACAAAGCCAAAGCCGATGATGATGATGGCGGGCCACGGCCATTTGTCTTGCAAACCAACGCTGAATACCTTCGCGGATTATATGATTAGCTCGATTTCCCACGTATTTCACACAGGCGTCCTCTCACAGTTAGTCCAACAATGACGGCTACAATGAAGGGGCTCAAGGCCACGAGTCGCATCTCGGGTTCCCGAATACCCTTATTCTTTATCGTTGCCCTCTGTGAAACATAATCAGACCATGGTCCAGCTACGGCAAGTCCGAATACACCTCCAACCACGAGCGCAAAGTTAGCATATCCAACCTGCGCCGGTGTGAAATTGTAAGGTGGCGCAGAGAGGCCTGGGGACTGTAATATGTTGACTGCTAAGAGGGCATTCGCCGCCGATCCCATCGACATCGAGGCCCAGAAGATGATGGGAAAGAAAAGGATATATGCTGGCGTGAAGAAGTGCCGGACCACCGATCGCCAGGCGGTCCGGTCGATGCGTTGAAAGATGCCAAACTGGGAACGGCTAGGCCTTCCACTCCCCCGAATCTCGGTTTGAAGATTCTGAATCTGTGGAGAGGCAACAAATTCGGCATGTCCTAAGCCCATTTCTATTTTCGCATTGTCAACGGCGGCTTCCTCAGATACAGAGACACCTGGAACAGGGCTCTGCTCTCGCGAACGACGTGTCTCTGGAAAGAAGAACAACAGTCCAATTATGTTAAGCCCTTGAGCGCCGGTACATGCCCAGAAGAAGACTCTGAAGGAAACGTGCTCTGCCACAGCTCCTGAGATGATGGGACCGAGGAAGAGTCCCATAAAATAGCACCAGCTTGGACCATAGGTGAGTAGGGAACTGCGACTTGTGTGAAGTTGAAACTCACAAGTAGGACCCAACATATTTACCGCGCTCGTGGAGGAAATAAATATCAGTAACAACAACGTTCATGATGCTCTCGTTTGCAGAAGCTCCGGTCCCCGCGAGAATCCGGGCGCCTAGGAACGAGCCATACGACGTTGCCGTCGCTTGCCATATACAAGCACCAATATTCAGTATCGCGCAGACAAGGAGGGTTACTCGTCGTCCAAAAATCTCGCAGCTGGGGATGATGATGAAGTTGCAGTAGCCTAGAAGAATAACAGTCACTCCAGTCTTGAGAGAATTAGCACCATTATTACAGCACAGTGTTGGGTGCCAAAGGAAGTAAGCCATCAATCAGTATTAGCTGAGGCTTTGCCGTCCTATCGCAAGGCGGCAACTCAACGAGATAATAAGGCCGGAAAATCAGGGACAAAACCACTTACCAACAAAGCGACATCAGTCAATGATTTCTGCCATTGCTGCATGAAGATCGGTGTCAATGGCGCTATGGACAGTGTTGGAATGACGCTAGTGATCACGAAGATGCCTTGGTTGACAATGACCAATGTTTTCCACAAGGTACTCCAGTTCTTAGGATTTCAGTTAGCTCCCAGGAGATGCAACAAATTCTCTTATAAAAAGGCGGAAATGGTTAGAAAGTGCGGATAGCTTCTCCATCAGAGACCCAACCGGAAGGCTGCAAGAGAAGAGAGTACAAGAAGAGAAGACAAATACAAGACAAACGCTGGATGAAACTGACAAGTGGATCGTGTAAATCATCTGTTGGCTTCGGAATAAGGACGATTGAGCCTTGATTGTCGGATCGAGCTCCAACTATAGTAGTCATGACCTCTGTACCTGGCACAAGGTCGGCCTCAGCCTCTCTCTCAATTTGGGAGGCCACAGGCATGAGGTTGGAAACATGTTCAGTTCTCTCCATTTTCGTTAATGAAAAAATCGTCTCTGAGACCTTTTCTTTTCATCTGGAATTTCGAATGTCTTCATACCATTATAGTGACTTTAATGATCTCTTAATGTTCAGCCTAGATCTCTGCAACCCGCATACCAGAGGTGGGGGATCGTGGGGAAGATACCAAACACATGGTAGTAGAAGTTTAGTTGCGGGGCCCCAGCCTGTGCCCCACGATTCTGTAGAATGATCGCGGTCGCACTACGAAACCTACCTGCAGAGGAGAAACAAAGCAAGAGTAGTTGTACTTCTATGGTGTTGTCCTTTCGGATTATCTGATACGTTGGCGATCAAGTCCTTTAATGATGGATTCGCTGTTCCGCGTCGATGGATTACCAAGAAACCATGTCTTAGCCAGCAATTGTCAAGGCTTCATCTGATGGCTATCACACATATACTCTCCAAGGCTATAAAATAATACACTTAGAGATCGGTCCAACTCATATAAGAATGCCCTCTCCATTCAGTAACAATACAAGTATCTCTAACTTTAATGCACATCTGAATAGAGCGCTTTAATGGGACAGCATCCAATCACCACACATGTACTTAAATTGGATCGGTCAACGGGAGTAATTGTATAAGATACAAAATATATATTTTTCTTGGGTCTTCCCCTTGGGCTTATATCATGTCATGTTTTACCTTATTTACCAGCGTTCCGATTCTCTCAATATGTATATCAATCCTGCTTCCATTCTCCAAGCTCACACGTGGCTTTCGGAAATACCCAATACCAGCTGGCGTGCCAGTCAGTATGATGGATCCTGCCTCCAACGTCGTTCCACGAGAAAGGCAAGAGATTTGCTTCCTGATCGAAAAAATCATGTCCTTCGTGTTACCGTCCTGAACCGTCTGGCCGTTATAAATGGCTTTGACGCTGAGGGACTGTGGATCATCAATGACCGAGGGAGAAACAAGCACCGGCCCTGAAAACTTGTTAGTAAGCGTCAATACGGCAATTCTCAGCTCAAAACACACCTATCGGGCAACTATTGTCAAGACCCTTTGAAAATGACCACTGCTTAGCCGCAAGCTGCAGGGTTCTCGCCGAAACATCGTTTGATGCAGTATACCCAAGGATATGCTCCAAAGCTCTATCCTCGGGAATATCTCGACCACTTTTGCCAATTACTATGCAGAGTTCTGCTTCGTAGTCGCTTGTTCCATCTTGCGCGCATTTTGGAATAGTAATTTCTGCGGGAAATGGGCCAGTGAGTGCCGCTCGAGGCTTCGTGAAAACTTCCAGCTCGCTTGGGATCGGGAATCCTCCTTCCTGATCCAGGACCAATATATGAGTAAAATGCGAATAGTGGAAAGGTATTAGGATAGTTTTCTCTACCTACTTCAGCGTGATCTTTATAGTTGAGTCCGAGGCACCTAATGTAGTTACACTGCTCTCGGCTAATTGGGGACAGAAGCTTTGAAACCGACTGTCAGCTTTTTCTCAATCGTGGAAAGCAGTCGTAGCTTACATGATGTACGGTAAGGACATGATCGGTCACTGTACCGTTGAATATATCCCCATTTATTAAGAAAGCTTTGACTTTGACGCCATTCAGGCAGTCGACTCCAACATCTCGTGACGTATCAATTACCTGCCCTAGATGAACCTGGCCATCTTCGACGGCCCTGAAACGAATCAAGTGTGTCCAGTTTGTCATCTTGGCGCTGGGTGAGTGGAATGGCCAGCTCACCACTATGGTCTTGCTGGCTGTTATTTGTTTCCCCAGCGAGGGGCTTAAGTTCCAGTCGTCTTATTTAGATTCTTTGGCACATCTTCCCCACGCCTCAAAGTCTCCCACCTGCCCCGCAAAGTCCCCGCACAACGAACCGTGGGGCCAAGAGGAAAGAGTGTGAAACGTTGAGCAGCCTTGGATATTTGAGGACGCTGTCGGCAAGGTAAACTAATATTTGTATTCACCAAATGATCAAATATGGCAGAGAAAGGTCCTTTCGAGACGACTGACATCATTGTATGCGGCTGTGGGCCAACTGGCGCCATGGTGTCAGTGCTTTTGAGTCAGTACTCCATACAGCATGTTGTACTCGAACAAGACAGCGAAGTGAATGCAGACCCACGCGGTATCGCACTCGATGAAGATGGCATCCGCTACCTCCAGGCATGTGGAATATACGAAAAAATATTCACAGAGATAGGCCAGTGTTAGTTTACCCATTGTTGTCATCTTTAGCTACTGAGCATCTTGCTCACCGCGTCTCTAGGTATGGGTAATTTCAGATTTATCGACAAGGATCATCATGACCTTACCAGGAGACCATTCATGATGATGGATTACAGCACGGTGCGTTGAATTACTTACAATAGCATTTCTAGATCAATGGGCCTAGTAAGATGCAAGCTGACTAACAACAAAGCATAGACTGAAGGTGGTACTGGCCATCCAGGCTTCATGTGCCATAAACAGCCATACGTTGAGAAGCACCTAAGGTCACAAATAACGACACTGGGTGTAGGCAAAATGTATCTGGGAGCACGTGTCACATCTATCTGGGAAGATGAAGATTGGGTATACGCGCGATACACCGACACATTTAATCAAGATCATGCCGTTCGCGGCAAATTTCTCGTCGGTGCAGATGGCAAGACAGGCTTCACGCGTAAACAGTACTTGGAGCCTCGAGGCATCACCTTGGATCAGGCCATGAAGATGCCGTACGAGGAAGATTGGGTTGCCCTCAACTGGAAGATCTCCCTTCCTTCGCCCGAGACACATCCCGATTTTCCCCTTTGGGAGAAGGGGTATACACCTCAAGAAGTGTACGATGAATTTTTTCCTACGGACTTCCGATTCATGTGCAACCATGTCCGACCTGCTGTTTGTGGTCGTTTTGGTCTTGATAGCGACAGACTTTGGCGCTTCGAGTTTGTGGTTCGGTCAGGTGAAGACCCAGGTGACATGGCAAAGCCAGACCAGATTGCAAGGGTCGTTCACCCCTATATAACGCACCCGGGGAGTCGCTATGGACTCACAACGAAGCAAATCCAATACCCGCTAGATTGTGTAGAGGTTCTTCGTTGTAGACCATTCAGGTTCTCGGCAAGAAGCTGCAATAAGTGGTCGCTTGGTCGAGTCATTCTCTGCGGAGACGCTGCTCATGTTTTCCCTCCGTTTGGAGGCCAAGGAATCGCGTCAGCGTTTCGAGATGCCATCTCAATCGTGTGGCGTCTGCATATAGCAACCAATGCTTCTTCTAGAAGCCATGTTACGTTGGACTACCAGACACTATTCGAAGGCTGGTATTCAGAACGAAAACAACAGCTGGACAAGTCACTTCGATCCACCGTTGAGAATGGCAACTATGTCACGGAATCTAGTCGTGTTAAAGTGTTCCTACGTGACTGGTACCTCTGGCTCATCCAGCTCGTCCCAAGTTGGAAACACTGGCTGCAGTTGGGTAACCGCAGAGATGGGATGGTCAAGTATCGGTGGCAGGCGGGAATGGGAATGGCCTTTTTACCTAGACTTGGCGGCGGCAGGAATTTCCCCCAGGTCTACATTGTTCCTGTTACAAATACTCCACGAACCGAAAGGGTTCTCTTCACTGACGACGTCATATTCAGTCATCAAAAGCAGGGCCTATTTCAGGTGGTTGTAATATTACGGCCTCAGAGCAATGTCGACAGCGTGGAGACAGCCCTTCACGGCCTCCAAGAGATATCAAACGGAGCCCTGAAGGATGACGAGACCTCAATATTTCTTGACAGTACTCAAGCTCCCCCCTGTGACTTGAAGGGACGGAACATCTACCGGCTCGCCACTGCCGCAGAGTTCGCTGGTGACCTAGTTCTATGCGCAGGAAGGCCCAAGCCCATGGGCTATGATCCGCATCGTATGTCCAAGGAAGTTGGAAACAAAACGTTTATTATTTTGCGACCTGATCGATTTGTTTTTGCGGCCTGCGATACAAGATCCGACTTGGCTTATGCTGCTCAAATGCTTGGCAAGCTCGTGGCGACTGGAACACTATAATGTGGGGAGTGCTTTTTCGTGCCAGATAGTAACTGCTGTGCTTCCTAAGGACAGCCTGTAGATGTATCGTAAGTCCATATAGTAAGCTTATAGGCTGTTTAGATGTATTGCCAGGACCTTTTTCACCTTTTTCTCACGTACCGAGCATCAAGCTTGTTTCGAAAAAAAAGACACTGAAATTAATGCAAACGCATTCAATCTAAACCCAAATCTAGTTTTAGTCGAAAAATTTGGGTTTCCGAAATTGTTCAAAAATGAACCTGCGAGCCAATTACCGGGTTCCTGAGGGGTAGGCTAGCCTGCTCAGAAATAAGTCGATCTTGAAAGCGTTCTATGTTCCGTGGCAGTGTATTTATTACTCCGTGGTAGCAGCATACGCTATGTTGTTATTATTGTATTGCTTTGCGCCGGGGACCTCTAATAGATCAGGCTGCTATATGGAGTAAGCGGCATGCTAAGCTAGCTAACAGAGGGTATAAAAAAACTAATATATAAAAAACCCCTCTTAATAAACAGTCTATACTAATAGCTAGGCTGTTAATTCCCTAGGTAGTTACTATAGTATATAAAGGCTAGTAGGTATATAAGGTAAAACCCTACTCTTACTTATACCTTCTATATGGAAGGTAATAACTAGATCTAGTTGCTTAGCTACGTTTTTTCCTTTTTAACTATCTAATATATCTTATAGGATTTCTATTACGCTATTAGTTATCTCTAAGCTTTTTAGCAATAGTTAATTATAGCAGCGTAAAGCTGCAAGGATCGGTTGGATTAGCTATAGTTGGATTATTCAATTAGTTGGGTGGTAATAACCTTGATAAGGAGGTTATAAATCCAGTTATAAGACGTTAGGCAAGTGTTGCAAGGTCTTTTTGTAGAAAGGGATGAACTCTCCGAAATCCCTTCCTAGGACCTGCGGTGTTGTGCGGTGCGGTGCATACCAAAAGGTAGGGTCACCTGTGGTTGTAGGAGGAGAGTTGCAGCATACGCTAGAGCACTATAAACACCACTGCCGGGTAAGGTGGGAATCCAAGAGAAGCAGGATACGTTTCTACCAGTTAAGAGAAAAGTAACGAGGCAATATGAGATCTCTAGATGGAGATAAATGAACCTGAATGTGTACATATCACGCCAGATGAAATCCAAACTGAGTAGTTATTTAGCAAGCCAAATCGAGTAGCATACAACGCAGACTCATTTCTTCATGAGTCTGAGGGATCTAAGAGGAGTAGATGGCACTATTCAAGTCGCCCATGATCTTGACATATTTTAATGAAGACTCTTAGCAGTACGATCAAAAGATATACCATGAATTTAGCGGATGAAAGACATAATCACTTTAGAGCTTCTCGGGAATCGAAACCGTGCAAACTAAAAGCCTGGAGTAAAAATCGATAGATACAAGGCATTCGGCTCCCTACTACCCTCTCTAATCTAAAAACGCTTTTGGAACCTCAGGACCCCATACCGCCAAGCTCTCGTCGCCTGCAGGCAAATGCCCAATAGGCGTATTCTGGTTGACTAAATCTCCGTCGGCATAATGCTCAATCATGTTGCCTGTTGTATCCCACCAGTAGTCAAAAATCTGGCTTCCCAAAATATGGCGGCCGACGCCCCATACACTCTTATATCCTTTCCCAGCCAGCCATTGATGGCCTAGCTGCTGAGTGTCGAAATCGTGAATTTCGAATGAACAATGATGGACATGTGATGACTGCCCTTGACTCAGGAAGATGGTGTGGTGATCAACATAGTCGTCACCTCTATCGATGTGGGCGAAGATAGCCACGTCCTTTGTGTTTTTATTCTCATCTGGTACAAAGAGCAGATCCGATGGAACGAAATTAAAGTTATGAGTATACCAATCCAGCTGCTCGGCGAAATTTCGTACGCAGAGGCCATAGTGACCAAGCTGTTTCATTGTCCTCGTTAGTGGGCACTGTCACAAGAGAGTGCATATAATTTAGAATGTCTTCAAACCTTGTGCACCGCGGCAGGTCCTTCGTCAAAGCGCTGGAACCTTCGTCTGCGCGGCTTATCGTCCTCAAAGTTGACGATGAGCCTCTCAGGCATCTTGCCTATTTTCGCGGGCTCTTGGCCATGGATGAAATTGATCGGGAGCCCCTCCGGATCGAAGGTGGTAACCAAGGAGCCGCCACCAGGTGCGTCGTCCAGTGATGTAATGGGGCCGGCACCCTGTAGCTTAGATGCCTTGATCAAATCATCATACGTCTCTACCTCGAATGTCCCGCCGAGGAACTTCTTGGGGCCCTTCTGCGCGTAATAGACATACTGGTCAACCCCATATCCCCGGAACCACACGCAGTCTTCAGCCTCCTTTACAGCACGCATGCCAAAGTCATTAAGAAACGTGCTGATAGTCTTAAGGTCCGGATGCTGGTATCGCATGTGCACCAGCCTGACAGTACGAATCTGCTGCGACGGATCAATGCCTTGCTTCCGTCTCCACTCTGTAATACTCTGTCCACCGGGCCCATTTGCTTCCGTATCCGGCACGGAAGCGCCAACGTTGAAGTTGGTGAGAGATGGGTTCTTTAGAGCAGCTGTTAGAGCCTGCGGTAGTCTGATAGAGGGTGGGATATACCTACGCTGCTCATTGTGAATAGTGATTGATCTCTAGAATAGTCTACGAGCTGTCCAACCGTATGACAGATAGTGGCCGTGGCTTTTCCGGGCCTGATCGGTGATGCCTGGCTACATGTAGATTCCTCTGCTGCATATTATACCCATCACCGGCCATTCTAGTGCGTGCACACAGTGACATCCTCACCATTCTCTTTAAGCAACAGCCGCGCAATGTTTCCCGCACAGTTTGCGGGGAGGTCCCCCTTCAAATCGCGGGGCATTCCATCCCTCTTTGCGGGGCGATGGCGGTTGCTATCCTTGGCCACGTCCCCGCGGAAACGGCTGCAAGGCGTGCCTTGGCGCGGGATTGAAGTCTTCAATGGGGGGCACTCTGGCGTGGAGGAAAAAGTAACCAAGAACGTAATGAATATATTAACAAGACTGGACAAATTATCCCTCTATGTTGATACATTCGTTATTCATCACCTTCGGATTTATCAGCACTGCCAACTCTCATCTTTTCTTTTTTACCGGCCATGTTAGGCAGTTCCTCATCAAGCGCCTCTCCAGACAGAAAAGGGGTTTCCTTGGCCAAGCCCAACAGGGCAGATATGATGTACAACAGTGAATAATACAAATTAGGTCGTCAGCCCCAGAAGAAAGGAAATGTTTTAAATATGTACCCAGTTCTGGTACTTTTTGTGCGTATATCCATTGGCAGTCGCGACAAGGCCAGCTCCATGATATTTGGGTCAGCTACATGCTGCAAAGATGAAACTCGGGGAGACAAACGTAGCCCTGGCCACATGCACAGAGTAAAAACAATAAATGGTTGCCAGTTGAACCTGTGTTAGTACCAATATACTGAATGCTTATTTCCAACGTAGAGATCGTTCACCTGCAGTTTGCGTCGCCAATGGATGTGATAGTCGGCCAACAGGATGCCACTATATAATATTAGCTGCCGTATATAGTCTAAAATGTATTATTTCGTACGTCAACGGGCCCAGAATACGCCAAACCCACTCAGAACTGTGAGGAACTTGCTCGCCGTTGCGAGAAGCTTCCATGGCCTAGAAAATAATTAGTCAAAGCTCAACGGCGATGGACGAGGAAACTATTAGTAAACTTGCTGTGTTGCTATGCCCACAACCATCATGACGTACGAGCCACGTCGGATATTGATGTACTTTGGCCACAGCCCGGCCAAATCCATACCAATGGACATTGAATTTAGGACAATGGAAATCTGTGTGAGCAATGGCTTATGTTCACCATCTAGAAAAGTAACAAAAGTCTCCTCTACTTACTGAAAGCTGTGAAGTCACAACCCCAATGCCTGCAAAGAAGACCGCGGCTCGTACTCCCGGACTAGAGTGGCAATGCTCTTGCACTTCTGCCAGTAAACTGATGGGATTCCATAGAATCTCTCCACCCAATATCTGATTCGATGCACTTGTGGCAATGATACCAATGACGGCGGTTACTGTAATTGTTAGTGGAGCTGCAATCAGTTGAGACAGAGTCGGCGAATGTTTGGTCTTTGCATATCGAGTCCAATCGGATTGGCCGAGTGTACCGGAGCCCCAAGCACCTAGTACAGCTGTGATACCAAACATGAAAGCCCAGCCTATGTTTGGGGCATCCGTTTTCTCATGAAAGAGCCCGCCAACCCCATTGGCAGTTGAGACGTTCCTGAATGAGTGTTAGTTGACCCAGTGTACCAGCTCCAGGAGACGTCTCGGCTATTCTCACCATATCAATATACCGAAACAAGAGCCGCAGAAGAGGAAGAAACAAATAACAAAAGGGATCTGTAGTCTCTCTGGCTTTATGAGGATGGCAGGGATAAAGGCACACATCCAGATGACAAGCCCGATAAAATCGTTCGTCGCAAGGTGAGAGCTTTCGCTAAAGCTGTTTCGCATATGGGCGAGGCCTATCAAAACAAGTTGGAGGATCACAGTTATCGACTAAATACAAGATAGTTTCATATCGCCACGGGCTCCCACCTGGAATGATAGCTCCAAGGGTGACCCTGGTTGCCTGAGCTCCCCAGAATGCCTGAATGCCGAACCAGATACAGCCTGTAAAGCAACTAATAATCATGGGAACTGTTTTTGTGCTATATTAGTTGCTTGAAAACAAGGGCATACTCGGAGAACTTATATATACAGTATGATCCCCTCATTCCCCAAGAGAACCTACAGGAAACTGTGAAGCCGATGTTGTGTTTTGCTCCGGGCCACCCGGCCACGACCGCGAGACAGCCAGAGAGGAAGCCTCTCTAATAATCGGTTAGTAACAGGGTTATTGCATACCCTAAGTTCGGTGGTTGTACAAGTACTCCAATTGCCTCTGCGGGGCTAAGTCCAAACGCGAGCAGAGTGCTGCCCAAGGACCACGCGGAGAGGGTTGATCCAGAAACAGTCCAGTAACCTGTTGCTATGATCAGTATATCCACTATCAGAGAAAAGTTGTAAGAATATGCTACCGAGGTAGGACCACATGTGAAGCGTCCGGCGATCTGGAGGGATTGGGATTAAGTCGCGATTACACCAGGTCGTATTTTCATAGTTGGCATCTTCGTCTTTAGGACTAATACCCCGAGTTATCATTAAAACATGGTATCCTATGATGTAAATTACTGACCATTCAAGCTTATGCTTCGCTGCTGCCCAACGGGGGCCCATGATGGATGGCAAGACGCTCAATTTTGATAGTGAAGAGGCAAGGATTGTGCGTATGTTGTTTCCCAGCAGATTTATGCGAGATCCAGAAACGCCATTGATACTGGGAAGCGAAGGGAGTAAAGGATAAACGCCACCTTTTATAGCTGGTCGTTCTCTGGAATTGGCGTCGTGCTTAGGGGTGCCTCAGTCTGAGCGCAGCAGATGATAACAAGTGACAAGGTCGCAAAGCGATCTACCGTACTACGTGACAAAGATAGACGCCCTGCCGCCGCTCTATGATGATGGCAGTGGCAACGGTCCGGGCAATAGAGCGAAGGGACATTCGGGGTAAGATTTCGATTTCTCATAGAAAACGGATACACTTTACTTATAGAGGGATACCGGATACACAATCCCCTGGTGTGGTGTTCATTGAGCTTCTTCCAAGCATTTGTAATTGATACTCGTAGGTATGCCTGTGACTCGTCTTGTAGGCTCACTAGTCGGCGCTGTTGACTTGAAGGAAGATATTCATCTTGTATATGCATAGGAAGAGCATTTGACGATGGAATTTGAACGGCCTTTCGGCCTCGCCTCGGCCGTTGTGATAATGCTGATTGCATTTGACTCTGTGATTGCTAAATCTGCTCGTTAGTAGGGGATGTAAAAAATGCCCCCCAATCTTCAAAATCATCAAGCAGGTACTCAATGTCAGTCATAACTTCCAAAAGCTACCCAAAGCCGTCATCTTTGCCTAGTCCTTGGCACCGCATTGTTTGTAAGTAAAGAGGTTGAAGTATCTCATGAATTTCAACAAGAAGCCGCCAATCCTCTGATGATAGGATTATCTTCTTGTCGCAGGCGAAGTTGGCTATTCTCTTCAAGTTGATTCTCACTGAGGAAGGCCCGAATGTGCGTTTACTTATCAAGGGCGCGGCTAATCATCATATATGTTGAATTCCACCTTGTATCATTATTCATAATGACTTCAAGCTCTTGATCATCAAGACCTAATGCAGTGGCGGTGTTTTCAAACCGTTCACTTCGTTCAATCGAGCTTCTGATGAACTTGACGATATTCCGAAGCTTGCCAACAGCGCCTTTCTTCCTCCAATGCTTGACTTCATCATCGAGGCGGCCTGTAAGGTCAAAAAGCTGCGACTCTTGCTCAAAAGCTTCATTATCCTCTCCATACAAGAAAGCCCGGCCAACGAGGTTCAAGATATGCCCATAGCATCTCATCCGCCGGTCAATTGCATCAGATGCCGAGATTGAGGGGTTAATATGCGAAAATAAATGCTGTACGCAAGTATCATTGTTCAAGGCATTGTCGCCAACAATAGTGCCGAGCTGATATTGAGTATCCCACTTTTGAATAACAGATACAATCGAGGAAGCCATATTTCTTCCACTATGAGAGCCATAGTGCTCCCGAAGAGATATTAGGCGTTGCTGCCGTTTCCCATATGAATTAATATAGTAGCCAGCGACAGCAATAATAGATAATCGATTCGGGGATGTCCAAAGGTCAAAGCTAATGTGTATCTCTGTTATTGTGTTATGAAGCTCCTTTATGACCTCTTCCCTCTTAATATTATATATTCGATCGAGAGGTTATCGAATAAATCGGGATTAAGCTGTTGTAGAAGACGGCGAAGGTATTTACTCCCAAAGATCGTGAACGGCACGTTCTTTTCAATAATAAATCCAACTGCAAGCTCTTGTAGCGCCTGCGCAGATGTAAATATAGTTCGTGCCCGCTTTAAGGGAGGAGGATCGTCGGATTCGGAACCTGCAGAGGATTGTGGGCCAACTTATTCTATGACTCGATGCCGTCGTCGAATATGATCTGTTGCCAAGGAAGTTGCAGATGCTTTGAACGGCTTGATACTATCACCAGCTTCGTCACAGCGGCGACAGACCCAGAAGACCTCGCCGAGCGAATTTGAATCCAATACTTCACGTACAAACAGTCCTTCGCTTTTAATCCAACTATTGCGGCCCCTGAGGCCCTTCTTTGAGATGAGGTCTTCGAGACCAAAGCGGCGGCCGTGCCAAGTTGCTGTTGGTAAGTTATTGGTGGAGTCGTCGACTTCAGGATTATATTCTAATGAAGGAACTGATGTTGTAGAGAGTTGTGCTGCAAAGCTAGGAGGCCTACTCCGTAGATGCCCTTAATAGTAGATGTTACGTAAATTCCTATCAGCTTATTAGTCAGGGGGGTTGGGTTCGAATCCTGCATCCCTTTGGGTGCGAAGTAGTGCACCCTATGTACCTGTATCCCCTTTTGTCTATTTTGAGGAGAGAATATCTAAATTCTAGCTCTTTGATTGGCTGCAGCTTTTGAAGAGTACTTAGGGTGCACCACTTCGCACTCAAAGGGATGAGCTCTTCATGTTACCAATGGTGAACTTTCGGGGCCACAATTGGCAATCGCGGAGGCGCTGCGAGGCTCGCAACGCCGCGCACCCGTCCAACTACTTCTAGTCAAAACCATTAGACGGGAAAGCAATTACGTAAATTAAGAGGAAGTCGTTAAACGTTAAAGCACAAAGGTAATATAATACCAACATCTAGGAAAGCAGCACATTAAAATCTAGGCAATTTCAGGCAGCCAGGCTTAGCCAGCCTATAAAAGTTAACCACACTAGGTAGTATTCGGAGTAGGGTTCACATGACGCCTTGGCCCCTCAAGACACGCTAGTGTACGGCCCGAAAGCGCCGAATTCCGTGGCTCGAAATCATTGGTTCATTTACTTGCATACGTATGTCCACTTTCCATTTATCCCTATTAAAGTGCGCCATTCCCTTCTTTACTCTCTAGCCTACATACCTCTGTCTGTTCAGTCGCCTTTGGTCAAACTTGTTTATGTCCTGTTGCGCGCTTCAGTCCAGTGTTACCAGATTCAGGTGCAAGAACTACGATTCTCGTTTCTAGCTAAATGGGAGTTCGTATTCTGGTTCGCGTTTCACTTGACTGATGCCAGCTCCAGGTGCAAGATCCATAAACAAGTTGATCGAATTTGACCGGGGGGGCTATATTTTACCTTTCACTGCTATTCTTCACCTTTTGATGTTTAGCACTCGGTAAGCACATTATCACTAGCTAATTTACATTGCCCTTTACTTACAAAATCCCCTAGCACACGTCCGGCATAAATCCTCTATCGCCATCCTTTAATTCTGTCGAGGTTGGTACTGGTCCGCTTAGATATACACTGTTCTATCAATCAGCGAGACGTGACATTAACTTCTTTCAGTCAAGCTAATAATGCTATCCAATCTGACCCAGCAACCTCCCCCGCCCAGTCAGGTCGCAGTCAATCGCAGCCCCTTGATTCTGTCGAGGCCGACATGAAGCTTCGAGATATCCGCTCTGGTGCCCCCTCTATTATATCAGGTCGCAGTCAATCGTCGCGCCTTGGTTCCGTCGAGGCCGGCACTGCTCCCAGTAGGTATGCACTGTTCTATCTACCAACGAGAAAATAAAGTTAACTTCATTCAGTCAAGCCAATGATACTATCTAACCTGACGAAGCAACCCCCCCTGCCCTAACACTTGAACCGTTTCCAGGTGGGAACTCGTATCAATTTTGCAGTCGTCTTTACTGGGAACTTGAAACTCCTGGCGATTTTCATTTGCGCATCGCCTATAACTCCTCTCGAGGCGTTTATTTCCGCATTGATGCCAGAATCCCAACCTCTTCTGGCTTTATTACTGCCTACATCATCTGGTTACTGAAACATATTAAAAGGCTTGGATTTACTAAATGGGCTACACCCTCGAAGTACCTGCTTCTCAAATTCAGATTCAACCTACCCCCCAGCCTGATGGCTCCGATAGAATGGACTCAGCACATCTCTGATCTCCAAGATATGAAGCGCCTGTTCACCCTTTGTCAATCCCGAAAGATCTTCTTTTAAGTCTCTTGTTCGGCCCGCGATCTCGAATGCATAAACTGGATTATACACGGTGTCCAGTCCCAGCGCCTGGGCTCTTATGACATTTGTCATTCTTTCCTCGGCGATTCCGGTAAAATTTTTGTTGTCGCGGATGATTTCCTTTGCTCTCGATCACCGTCTCCAGATTCCTCGGAATTATCACTTTCTGATCTATCTTCAGACACATCTTCGCGTACGTATTATCCGACTGAAGCTACTGGACGAGCATTAACGATATACTAGTAAAGAGATCGTTTCAAGGAAGCGAAACCAACCCCAAGAGAAGAGCGTTAGAGCCCTCGCTGCATGATATCATGCGTGTATTACAGGCACAAAGCCAAGATATCCGTGCATTGCGTAAACAAGGCGCAGACAGCGATGCTCGCTGGCGGAAGACACAGAAGGACGTGATTCACGCGGTTTCGAGGAATTCGGAGGAATTTAGGAAGGAGCAAGTTCAGGCAGTGTGCAGGAGCGGAGAAGCAGAGAAGCAGAAGCTGGAGGATGATGCAGCGGCGCAGAAGCAGCAGGTTGAGGATCGTGGAGAGCAAGAAAAAGCGAGAATCGATGCTCGTCAACAACAAGATGTGGCGAGGATCGAGGCTTATCGACAAAGGGAAGTGGCGAGAATCAAGGCTCATCAAAAGGAGATGGTGGAGATGATGCATTGCATGTCGAAGGCCGTCGCTTTCGAGGCAGACTTGGCAAGCGGTGACCAAAAATACAAGGATATTTTACAACGATCGGCATACAATGTCGCCACTACGCACACCAATTCGGCCTTGCAATAAGAAGGAAAATATGCTCTTATTTTCCCGTTGTGTGCGTACGCCTGTTTTTTCATCTCTCTTTTTTTGGTCCCCGCTTGCTTGGGTCGGATTGAGGATTAGGCGGTAGGATTAATTATGGGACCACACGAAGGGGGGACGCAGTGGAATATTGGGTCAGAAAACGTGAAACTTGGAAAACAAAACAAAATAAGTTGTATAAAACCACCGACCAGGTCCGATGCAATGAACCATGCGATTAAGAACTAACTGGTGTGTGCGTGAGCACGTCAATTGAACCGCCGAGTAAGACCGGCGCACATCACAGTGAATTAGTGACTGCAAAGGCGGCGCCGGCAGGAGTTGCGTTATTAGTCTTGTGTCGCAACAAAGGGAACAAAGCCCTTTGACCACTCGAAAGCGCAGTTAGCTTTCCTTAGTGTCTACCCACAGCCCTTACTTGGATAAGGATCGTAACCTTTGACATGTACTGAAGTGGCATCTTGTTGACTTCGGCAATCTTCACATCCTCTCTCACCGCGCCTTTTTCCACGGCCTGGTCAGTGGCCTTCTTGCAGGCAGCGTCGATAATCGCCTTCTCATCTTTGCCTTCAAGGATTTCGACTGTATCAACCTCACCAGATACCTTACCAATCGCTGCACCGATAGCATTGGCAGCCCATTGGTAAATGGGTTGGATACATTTCTCAACGCCAGCCAATTCATCGGTGACCAGCAAAGCCCCACCTCCAACCAAGAGAACTGTAGCTGAAGCTGCGGAAACTTTCATCTGATCAATCCCCGTTCTAGCTACTTTTTGATATCTTGGGAAGCAAGCTTGACGGCTGACCGGGGTATATCATGGACAAGACTAGGATCACCAAGAGCAGCTTTACCGGCCGCAACAACAACGTCAGTGGCAGTCAAGGTAGAGCCACCAAACACCTTTGCTCGTTTTTGGATAAAATGGCCGACAGATGCAGGGCCAACAGAGACGGATTCGGCGTCTAGAGTAACTGTGCTACCACCGCCTAGTCCGATAGACACAACTTCCGGCATGGAGAATGCCGTGCGGACGCCTGCAATCTCGAGGAACCCTGGAGCTTGACGGGGGAATCCAGATGGTAGCAAGGCACAAACGTCTGTTGTGGTGCCACCAATGCCGACTACCAATATTTGAGCTTGCTCACAGGATGAGCTGTCCGCATTGGTAATAGTACCATGAGGAGATGTGTCTTTGGAAGACATGCCATTGGTGGTCCCATGCACGCTATTTGAAGCTCCATGGCCCTGGCCAATGCTAGCCAAGAAGGCTGCACCTGTCATGCTATTTGTTGGGCCAATGGCAAAAGTCTTGATAGGTAAATCAGAAGCTGCTTCGATATCGATAAGCGTGCCATCATTCTGAGATAGATATAATGGGCAGCCAAGATTAAGACGTTTCATAGCTCGTTGAAAACCTTTCTTGACGCGGTGGCCGGTTCTCAAGATGGAGGCGTTTAAAATAGTTGCATTCTCACGCTCCAAAACCCCGATAGGACCGATATCATAAGAACAGACGACTTTGAGATTAGGTACGGTTTCAAGCATAATTTCTTTGCATCGTTCCTCTTGAATTTCGTCGTGGTCTAATGGGGAGAAAATGCCGACAAGGGCAACAGTCTTAACACCAGCAGCTGTAATGTCCATCGCCGCCTGGCGGATCTGCTGCTCGTTGAGCTCCGTAATCTGCCTACCATCCATCACTAGCCCGCCATCGAGATAGAACACACCACCATCCAGGATATGGCGAAGGCCAACGGGAAAGCCAGAAAAGGGTGGAATCTGGTGAGTAAAGGGGCCGCAAAGCCGCACCGCAACAACGCGATCCAGCCTTCGAGCATCGGCTTCCACAAGGGTGTTGATGAAGTGGGTAGTGCCAATAGTGACGCTGAGAACGCGGCTCTGGTCAATAGCAGAGCTACCCAGCACCGTTTTAATAGCTTCTTCAATGCCTGTGGTGATATCTGGCGTTGTTGGTGCTTTGTGAGTAGCGAGGACTCCCCGATTGGGGCTGGTCAGTGCCTTGATATCAATGATTGCCGCATCGGTATTGGTGCCGCCAATATCTACACTGATGCGATATAGAGACATGGCTGTTGAAGTGGTGGCCTTGGAGGAAATATAGAGGCGATAGACTCAAGTGCACCCACAATAACGAGTTTATTTGTCTAGAATTTGTTATTCTGTTTTTACACTGGAGAGAGCTAGGGTAATTGTCTTTAACGAGGGAAATCGGATTAAATAACCACTTGGAAGCACTCAGGGTAACAACCGTCGTCCGAGACTGGTAATACATGTGAACAATCAAGGGAATCATCCCCGCGCACACACGGCTAACTGCGTGGACCTGATTTAGCGACGAAGAGCTTACAAATGAACCCCAGTTAGCCGTAGATATGACAGCCCTTCAGACCTCGCAAGGCGTAAATTTAGCGAATCATTCGGCGCTACTAAAAAAAACCATTGAAGATATGAGGTTTCAGTTCCATCCGACGAATGCTGGCGGGTAACTTTAGTGTTTAGTGCTGTGGTAGTGTGTCTTTGGTTTAAGGTAAAGTAGTTCGTTCGCCGAAGCTTGCTTCGTTCGCCGTTACGTGCAGGGCTAATTCTTATCCGGCCGTGGACAACTTGTTGTGGGGACCAGACAACTGTCGCTTTTGGCTTATAGCGGCTTCAAATATTTCACAGACTCTTATTGTGGTATGAGATCTGATGGTTATAGTCTTTTATAGGTTCATACGGAGTAGTGACGGTACATATCGTTTAAGGCTTATGATGACGTGGACTATGATGTGCAGAAGTAAGTTAATGTTTAATTAAATAAAGGATATCTATATTGCGCCGACCTAGTTATAAACCTTTCTCAAATCTACAGACTTTGATGAAACAAAAGTTGTAGTAAAAGTTATGCATGATCTTACCAAGGGTATTCATTGTCTTTGCGATAGTGCTGAAATTTATCGTCATCTGCGCTGCTTGTCTCAACGGATACATCCGTTAACTTAATGATATGCTGTTGGCTGGAAGTCGAGTGTTCATCATCTAATCTATTCCATCTAACCCCTTCTTTCCGGCGAATGCTTGTCAATATTTCACTTTGCTTCCCACCAAGACTGTTTAATTGTGTTCCACCCTATAAGCGAGGAATAGTCAGCGATGTTTCAGAGCATCCTGCTGGGAGGGGGTTCTTACATCGGTTGTTCCTGGTCCAGACTTCATGTCAGACTTTCCAGATGAACCTTGATAGAATTTCTTGAAAAGGCGGCGCAATGGAGGCAATGAGCAACTGATTATACCCAAACCTGCCTCCAGGAGCGACCACAAGATTGTTGAACCCCAATTATCTACATCAATAATTGCTGTTAGAAATCCCAGTACGGGTTTTGCCTTATCCGTGGTAAATAGTAGGCAGCGCTTACAAAGAGATTCGTGTGGATACTTATCAGTATCATAAGCATGATAATATCCCAGGCGAACTAGACCAGCGGCACTACCAATAATACCCAAGCTGAGAATAACCTGTACTGAAACTTTCCTTCGCGTTGGCATTTGAAGACGTCGCAGCATGAAGAACGGGGTGATTGCGCAGGTCCAGTCCACCATGGCTAAAACAACGGAGCCGACATAACTAATGATGATCCAACCATCTTTGAGACGACAATAGCCACTTCATCCAATTATTAGCCAAGTAGAATTTAATTGGGGGAGTGTACCCAACCTACATTTTCTCGTTCCATAAGGCCGGAAGAGGCGAGCAGCTTGCGAACATTATGATTAAACACACAAGAGCATTGACAGATAGCAGGGCTATGTTCCCCCAAATTATGTACTCGTATTGTCTGGTAGAGCTAAGCCTCAGGATCATGATGGCCATGGCAAGCTTCGTTAGAATTGACGAGGCAAAGTAAATTATCTCAAACAAAAACATGTAGCTCTTAACCCTGACCTGATAATAGACGAGCATTCCATCAGGTACATGATCGTCATGAGCACCTAAACCATAGTAGGTTGCTAGAATGAGAAAGACGACAGAGGGAATAAGAGGAACCTGTTTCATTGTTAAATTGGCGGTAATAAGAAGATCAATGGGAATGTATCCTACCCAGCCAGCTACAGCGAAAATGTCATCCCAGCCCCATGCTCGCTGTGATCCTGAGAGTCGCACCCGCACGTAGACGCGCAGTGCAACGGTTATCGTAGCTAAGATGGTCACAACATATGTTATTGCTTGGATCGTCTTTGTGAAGCCGTGGACAGGTATCGGAGGCAGTTGATTGGCAATTGCTGATATACGCTCGCCTTCTTCGCTTCGACTCATCAACAAGGCCATAGCTAAGGGCCAAGGAAAGGCCCTTAGAGAGCTGCAGCGGAGAGGGAGCTAAGCGCAGCGAAGGCGAAATTTTGCAAAAGTCAACAAAAGGAGAGAAGAAAAATGTCTACGAGTGTTGCCTTCTGGGAACGAACGTGGTAAAAGTATTAAATCGTAGACGCCTAGGACTGTACCGGGTTCGTACCGTCAGCGGTGTGTTTGACAGCTGCTCAATCTTTGATCCCAGTACGAAAGTTCAACCGGCCCCCATTCGACTAGGACGTGATCGGCATGTTTGACGCATTCCCCTGACTGCCGTGCAGTACTCAATATCGTATCCTCTCCCAAACTCGTGTTCTTAGCTACAGCTTCTTTGGCCATCCTCTTTGAACTCAATAGCTGAGTCTTTTATCATCGCATCAAGATAGTCAGTGCTCTCCAGATTGTATAGTGATGATTTAACTTCTTTTTTGGCAATAGGGCTGAAATATATGCCGACTCTGCGAAGGAATCACAGTATTTGTCAATCCTTGCCAGGAGAGGAATAAATCATAGCTTCTTTGCGAGGTTAGGAGGCCGTTTAACTTGTTAATTTAGTGTATCCGGAATTTCTAGATTCCGCGACGTAGAAAGGGGGAAGGAGAGACCGGGTTATCCTGATGCTGACAATTTTAGTACTAATACGGAGAAAAGTCCGGCATTTCTTTTCCGCCATACTGAGCCATAAAATCACGTAAAAATCCCTCCACAAGGTCCACCAACGACGTCTTTACGACTACGAGTATGCAGATGTTGTTGGTTCAGACGTTGTTGGTTCAAGTAGACTAACTTCTATAGCAGGCCGTTGCTACTCTAAACCCCTGCTTGGGGCAGGGATTGGGATGCGATAGGCATACACTCTGTAGGAAATCATGTCATCCGGGTGAATAGAGCTATTCCGCGCAACCCCTGAGTGCAGAAGCTGGAGAAAATTTATCCGGCGATAAAGAACATTTGACAAATGCAGAAGTCGTTGCAGTTGAAATGTGGCTCCGTCCGAACGACAAATTGCTCTCATAATAATAGATTCGAAGTAGCCATACTTTTCCTTACCGCTGAAAAATCATGTAGACGAATGGGTAACTCTTGACAAGTATGTTTGAATTCTTGTTTAGTCCTTCAAAGGCACCCGAGCCTGTGCCGACCGACAAGATTGTCCCGGTTGGCTTCTTTGATGACACTATTATCTTTAGGACGTTTGTGCTATATACATTATTCGTTTTCGACGATGTACTGGACCCTCAGCACTTACGCACCTCTCTGGAGCGTGTCGTAAGCCGCCCTGGCTGGAACAAGCTGGGTGCTCGACTGAGAAGAAATGTGCGGGACAAGACCGCTTCTCCCCCCTTACGGCGAGGCCAATATATCTAACAGCTGCGCCCTTATCATTTAGGATCGTGGACAGCTTGAGCATCATATCCCGGACAGCTTTGATCCAGATCGTCCGGCAGTGGGATTTGAACATGTGGACCATGGTGCTTTAGCTGTAGAAGACCACCCCGCGGGATCATGTATTCCCCATCCTCCCCGCAATGGCCGACCAGCAATTGTTGGAGATCCTGATAAGCTCTCAGAGTTCATCTACGGCCAGGATACACCTAGAAATCTCGGTGATTACATCTATACCGATCGTCCTCAGCTTGGTCTGCGAGTTGTCTCGTTCAAGAATTCGACAATCGTCGTCCTCCATTGGATACACCTTACTTTTGACGCGATGGCGAAAAAGTCTCTCCTTGATGCGTGGATGCTCATGCTTCAGGGTAGAGAAGACGAAATTCCAGAGCCGCTGGCTCCCGACGAGTATATTTTGGAGCACTGCGGCAAGAAGCCTACGGAGGCCCATGTCCTTGCGGAATATCACATGTCCAAGCCCGGTCTTGTCTGGTGGGTGCTTCAGAACTGCTACAACCTGGTGGTAAAAGAGCAAGAGCATCGTATGGTCTGCGTGCCCGCTGATTATCTCACGAAATTGAGAGAAAAGGCTCTCGCGGAACTTGCTACTCAAGCCACCAGCGAGAAATGGGAGGCTCCATTCTTGAGCGAAGGAGATATTCTAGTAGCTTGGATAGCTCGCTTGGCAATTGCTAATCTTCCAGAGCATTCAGAAAAGCCTGTAAGTAGTTGTTCCTTGATACATATTCTGGAAGCCACTCAACATTCGGCTGCTAAACTTGCTATTTGCAGATTGCTGTACAACAAGCATATCAATGGCGGCCGATTTTGAAGGATCTGATACCAGACAAGCGACCATTCCTCAGCAACTGTGTTGGGTTTCTCGTTACTCTAATGCCAGCTAAAGATGTGCTTCAGAAGCCGCTTAGCTATCTGGCATCCCAGATCCGCCGGTCGATTAAGGAGCAAGGCTCTCGGGAACAAGTCGAAGCATACACCTCGTTGATCCGACTTGACCCAGCCAACAGGGCGCCTCCATTTTTTGGCAGCACGTCGATGCAGTTACTTATGTTTTCCAATTGGCAAAAAGCCAACGTGTACGCAACTGATCTATCAGCCGCGGCCGTGACACCACGGCGCACGCCGCTCACACCATCCTACGTCCAAAGCGTACAGGGCCCATATAACTTCTCTGATGGAATCATCATCGTGGGCAAGGATGTTGAAGGTAATTATTGGTTTTCTGGAAACAGAGCAAAAGGCCTTTGGGACATGATGGAGAAGAAAATGCAAGAGCAGGTAATTTAAGTCAGCATTATGACTACCCTCCTGAGCCGGTTATCGCGAGTTGTATTTTGTATACATGTACGTAATGCGAAAATTTCACCACTTGCCTTCAAATTCCGACGTTGTTTAGCGTAGGGAACAGCCGATGCTCCATTTACTAAAGATCAGGGAATCAGATGCAAAGGCGATGTCTTTAACATAACAAAAAGTTGGACAATGAAAATTTTTGCAACGTAACGAAGCATAATGAAGCATTTTTTAGTTACGAAAGTCAGTGATTAGGATCATATCCAGCATATCTCTAGAGTGAATTTATCATTTGGTTGTACAATAACATTGACTATTGTCTCGGTGAACGACTCGCTCACCGGAAAGCTTCTATCTTCTCACCCCGAGCCCAGATCCCTGTTCCGAAATTTTATGTACCCATGAATGTGCACCATCGCATCCTATCGAATACTATGCCAGGACCAGCTCCTCCACACCCAACTGGGTGTTCTGCGGATATGCTGGCTTTGATCATCCTCCCGAAAGCCGGTCTTGTGCAGGTTTTCATTGATGTTACCAGGGCTCTTTGAACCAACATCGCTTGCTTCGTCAAAATATGTCAGTGTAGCCATCACAAGATAGACATCTTGATCATTGACAATAATTTCATCGATATAAAGGAGATATCAGCCTCTTTTCGCCTCGCACTAAACCAATAGTGGAGGCAGGATGGAACTAGCACAATTGTTGTAGAAAGAGGATCGTGAAGAATTTTGTTTTGTAGCAAAGCATGCTACTTGTACAATGGCGCACAGGGGCAAACCATCAAGTTCTAGAGCCACTACCGTCTGATAGGCTTGAAAAGGGGCATTTTGAGCTGAGCTGATGCTATTGAGCTTAGTTGAATTAATATCTAATTCGTGTAAGCCATAGTGTGGTCATGTACTGAGTAAGCCGTAAGCGAATTGGCAAATATCGCTCCAGTTCTGCGGTCATTCTCACCCTCCCTTTTGGTAACTGATAGCGGAATGGCTCACTACTGGGTGCGGAAACGTTTATTAGCGTAACATGGCTGCTGCGGACACAGGTAAGCTTATTTACAGAACAAGGGGAGAATCAAAAAGAAGTTGTAACTAGACAATGTCTTACTAGATCGCGAGGCAAACTACAATACTATAATCACATACTAGTGTGAGAAGTCGACATCGGGTTCATGCCCAGATTGCAAGATACAGGGCAAGGAGGAGACGGAATCAATACGTAGACAAGTAATATATAGTAGAAGTATACGCCAATTCTCTTATTCGAACAGGCTAATCAACAGCTAAACTCTTTCGGCTAATTCGCCTACACACTGAAAGCCAAGCTAAGATACACGCCTAGTCTAGATTTCAAACTTGCATCGATTTCAAATATTGAATATGATAAAGCTTATTAAACACTAGCAGGTGTGGCTTACAGGGACTATTCTTCTTGGCAAGGAATGTGTCGAGATATGTCGCTCAAGCGTGGCGGTCTCGGCAATTCAAAGTGCCCATCTAGTCTCGCAGCGGGATTATAGTCCGGTTCTGTGGAAGCCGAGCAACCGAGCTAACCGGCCGGAATCCAAGCCCTGTGGGATTGACCCCAAGACCAGTGGCATTGAGTGCAAGCCCTGTGGAATCAGAGTATGGTCCGCGTTATTTTTAGACGCTGAATCCACCATCCAGTGAATGTTAAATAGCGGGAAGTATGTCTTGCTAAGAAGTATAATCAGCTGTAGTACCTGTTCCTCAATAAACGATTCACTTCTACAACTTTTCGTCAGGTGTATTAGTGACATTAATGACGAATCATTTTAACATCATGTCTGAGGCCGAGACACATTATGATTTCATTGTCGTGGGGAGTAAGTTGTCTCTAGATTGTCCTAGGCCTATACATTGCTAATTATCGCCAGGTGGCCCAGCGGGATGCGCTACGGCGAGCGGTCTGTCCCGCTCACCTAAAAAGCCATCTGTACTCCTCATTGAGGCTGGAGATGACCATACACAAGCCCATCTCCGTGTCGATGGGCAGCGATGGACTACATTCACCCAGCAATCTATGAACACGGGTTATCAGACAGCCCCGCAGCCCAATTGCAACAACCGAGTCATAGCCTATGACCGTGGGCGTGGTTTAGGAGGTTCAAGTACGATAAACTTTGGAGTGTGGACTACGGGGCCTCGGGATGACTTTGATGAATGGGCTAGGCTGGTTAACGATCCTGCCTTTGCCTGGGATAGCATGCAGAGCCGATTCAAGATGTTAGAGACATTCCATTTCGAAGTTCCGACTGGAACGGATCCATCTAGTGTATCACCCAAGACAAACGACCATGGATCTGCAGGGCCACTTCACGTTGGTTACGCCTCAGAATGGGAAAGGGATATCCAACCCCTACTGCAGACATTTCGGAATATGGGGTATCCGGTCAACCCGGACCATAATTCAGGAAATCCTCTTGGGATGTCGGTACTGATAAATTCGGCTCATAGAGGTCTTCGCTCCGTGGCTGCAGATCTGCTGCAGCCCAAGCCAGATAATTTAACCATCGTCACGGGATCAGCCGTCCAACGGGTACTTCTTGACGGGAAAAGGGCAGTCGGTATTGACTCAAATGGGAAACATTGTATGTGCAACCACACAAGTTTATATCGACGGATGCTGACAATCAGTTAGACTTTGCCACTCACGAAGTCATTCTTTGTGCTGGCGCCCTAGACTCTCCCAAAATACTCCTGCATTCTGGTATTGGGCCCGCGGATCAGCTTTCCAGGTATGACATCCCGGTGGTTCACGATGTCCCGGCTGTCGGGCAGGGTCTTCGCGACCACGCATTTTTGAATTTGGTCGTTCGGCGAAACGAGTCGGATAATGACCGCCGCTCCTTTTATGGCAGCCAAGAAGCAATGGATGCCGCTCAGGAGCAATGGAATCAAGACAGAACGGGCCCATGGTCTGTCTTCGGATGTGAGAACCTGATTGGCTTTTTTAAGTCAGACTCTGTCAGCTCGTCTATGGAGTTCCAAAATCTGCCTCCCTCGCAGAAAGAATTTCTTCTCCGGGAAACTGTCCCGCACTATGAACTCCTGACTCACTTCCCAATTCACTACTTCATACCAGGATTTGCGCCAGAAAACCTCAATTACGAGACTCTTTTGATATTTCTACTAAATGAGCAAAGTCGTGGGGAGGTGACGTTGCAGTCAGCTGACCCTAACGTGCCACTCAAATTTGATCCCAATTTTCTTTCTCATCCCTTCGACCAACGAGTGTGCATTGAGGCACTACGGGCTGGCATGGCGGTCATTAGAAACCCGTTATTTGCCAAGGGTAGCGAAGCTGACATCGTTGTCCCGAAAGTGGCTACCTCCGATCATGGTTTGCTCCAATTTTGGAGAGAAAACATGACCTCGTCTTGGCATATGGTTGGCACTGCGAAGATGGGGCGGCTTGGCGACAGAGATGCTGTGGTCGATGCCAACTTCAAGGTTTTGGGTCTTTCATCTTTAAGAGTAGCAGATAACAGTGTGCTACCGATTCTGCCAAATGCTCATACTCAGAGCTCGGCCTATGTTACTGGAATGACGTGCGCGGAGAAGTTGATAGCGGAGTACCAATTGGATCAACTGTACCTATAAACACAGTACAATTTCATCACTGAAAGGCAAGGGTACTTTGAGGATTTACAAATGATGGATATCTTTGGGGACATCGTTATACTTCGAACCCAATATTACCTACGTCAAATGGAATCGTAGTGATTCATGATCGCCATCATAACAGCCATTATTGACATGGGAGAAGCGATATCTAAAAGAGATTTGAAAATAAAATGTAGTTTATACCTGAAATGAATTAGCACGTATGTTGAAGGGTTGTTTTAGCTGCTGAAGGCCTCGGTGGGCTTGCCCACTGTGTACGTACCGATAGGACAACATTTGCGCTCTAACTGGTCGCAGGTTTCCATACTTTGTGCAGAAATCTTCTCTGGATTCCATCTCCGCTAGATTGCATCGAGTAATTGGACCTTGTTAAATGCCAACCTGAAGAATTGGGAAATAGTCCATGCCCCTTTCCTCCCATTTTGCAGGCCGACGAATGAGTTTAGCTACACTGTCCATACCTTGTAATTTATTCCTCTCATATTACAATGTTAGATATTTGTGCAGCTGAGTTGAAGCTGATTGATATGCGAGGCTATGCATGGAAGAATACATTGCAAAGAGTTCAAACGTATACACAAACATCAGTGCAGATGTGAAAAACTCTTGTGATGTTAAAATATCGTAACGATACATTCAAGGATATGAGATATGTAGTGTTACAAGATGTTTAAGAACTCTGGAACATACTATTCTTATGGCTACAACCACGGTGACGTTGGCAGGCGAATGTCGATCTCGGTAGTAAGATCCGCAAGCTTTTGAGATCCTTCATTAAATGCTCAATCCTGCAAAAGCGTGTGCGATAAGAGTATTTGTTTCTTGTTCACTGCCACCTGTTTCGGAGTTAGCCTTTCGCTTGCATCCGTGCTCCTAAGTTTGCTGCTTCTTGCGCGTATTTGCATTTCAATCTCATTGCCTCGCCAAACTTGAGCACAACAAATGGGAATGGCAAGCATGCAAGCGTTAAGAAAGCATGTATTGAGCTTGCCCAGGGTATGCCAAGGTTACCATACATCTGGTCTGCGAACAGTGGGAAAGCCACGCCAAAAAAATGCCCTGAGCATTGCCGAAGCCCCAAGTACCGATGCCGCATATATGGTGTACGAGTCAATCAAGTAGTTGAGGCAGGATAGAAAGACCAGAACGCAACCGAAACCAATCGGAGCAGAAAGAGTAATACTGACTGCCCAGTGTATACTTGGCGAATTGGTCCACGCGGATGCGAACATGCCAATGGGTAAAGCAACGGCACCAACAGCTCCTTGGGGCAACCTGGACTCGGGCGTCGCCGGCTAACCGAGTTTCTTATATCGGCTGTCATCGATAATGGCATATATAAGTCCAAGTATCATACCACAGATAAGGCCTAAAAATGCCAAACCTCCTAGGCCTTTACTCCATCCTCGGCCACGCTGATAGACAATTGGCAATGCAGGCATAAACATGTAGATTGTCCCATATATTATCGCCAGATAAGTGGCGGCGATTAGCACGATTGGCTCGCGAAAAAGAAGAGTGCAGGGTCGCATTAGAGCTTTGCGAAAGATTTCATATGATGCTGCTGTGTCATGATGCTGCTGCATGACGCTTTTGTATGACTTCCCCGTCTCTTTAGCAAGACGCGCTGCTCTTTGACGTAATACCACTGGTCCATATGACTCCGGCACAAGAATCGAACCGGCAATCCATATGATGCCGATAAAGATGTTGCACACACCTTACACCCACCTCCAACCGACGTTCATAGAAACAAAGCCGCTTACAATAGGGCCTAGAACAGGCCCCATAAATGGTGCTGCGCAGAAGAAGATCATTGCCAGCCCCCGTTGTGCCGCCGGGAACATATCAGCAATGACTTCGCCTGAGTTTGTCAATGGCGATGCACCAAACATTCCAGTAAGAAACCTGAAGACTTAGAGCCGTGTCATGGAGCTTGCGCCAGCTGAAGCAGCCACAAAAGCTACCACGTAGGTATGTGTAGTGATGAAGAGAATTCTCCTGCCATACAGCTCCAAAAGGGGTGCCCACAAGGCCGTCCCGATAACAAAACCGAGTAAATAGAGAGATATCCCGAGAGCAAAAATCTCCAAGCTGCAATGAACTTGTTCAAGAATTTCTTTTGCCGAGCCAGAGTAGGCGGGGGAAGTGAGCGTAATCGCTAATACTGAGGCGGTTACAACGAATATGATGAACCATTTCTTGATAGATGAGAAGTTCATGGAGTTTCCCAGATCACCATTGAGGGATTCAACAATGAAAGGATCAGAGGATGAGCCCATTCCATCATAATAGTCGCCGTTGTGGGGTTTTCTTTGCTTGGTTGTTCAAAGCCTAAGACTGTCATGGTTGCTTTGGCCGGGCTTATTCTTTGAGGGACTGCAACCAGATTCAGAATGGAAGTAGCTGCATGTATGAAAATGGATGCAGGATATATATAAGAAATGCTGTAAAAGTGTCGGGGGGGGGGGGGGGGGGGGGGGGGGGGGGGGGGGGGGGGGGGGGGGGGGGGGGG